ACACAGAAGCTTTCTCATGCAGAAGAAACCCGTGAGGTGTGGAGGCAGAGAACTCAGAGAGCTGGCTGTTCTCAGAGCAAACAGAGCTCAGGGAAGGAAAGGCCTCGTTGGGTGTGTTGGTGATAGGGAAATGGTGGGCTGGGGTCAGGAGGTTCTGCTTGGCACGGGAGGGAGGGGAATGGGTAAGGTTACACGAGTGAAACGTGACTACCTTTGCTCTCTTTCTCAGGTCAGATAGCTTGGAGTTAGATCTTATCACCCGAGAGCTGAATTAATCATGGGCTGAGCCTTATAACTGAAAGGAAAAGATCCAGTTGTGAGGGCGTGCTGCTACTCAGCTCGATGGAAACTAAAGAAAGAGGAGGAATGAAAGGTGATGTCTGATTTAATACAGGCTGCAATAAGGCTATATTAAAAATATCGTCTATGCCCCAGGGAACAGTGCTGTTCTCAGAAGGATTCAAAAGTACAGAGGTTTGGTTTCCCAATGAGGAATAAGGTGAGGGCTCCCCATGCTGGGAGGAGTGGGCTGGTGCTGACCTGCCTGCCTTGCTGCCTTCTTAGAAACTGCACTGTAACAATCCATGCATGTCAACTATTTTGTTTTTGCATTTTCAGCTTATTCTTTACATTTATTCTAAATATGTGCTTTACTCAGCTCTCATGCTTGGCAAGTATCTGTGAACAGAGTTTGAATCAGTCACTGCCATGCAGAGCTGCCTTTGTTGTCTTGGGGCACTCACATAGAAAATCCAACAGATTCTCCTTTAAGAATGAAGATGCAGATGTGATGCAAGCTCAGCAAAATCCCTGTGATAAATGAAGCCTCTTCCTAATGGCTTACTTATTTTATTGCTGAACCAGTGCCTGCTTTACAGATCTTCACAGAGTTTTAAATATATATGTAATGTACATATATCTGAATAATCTATGTACGTACAGTGAAAAGCAATATGTAATAAAAATCTAGTATACCTGCATACATATGGTTAAGAATCTCTGTATTTAGGGTTAAGAATCACTGGTGGATGAAATGGTGATCATGAGAGCACTTTGGGAGGAGTTTGAACTCATTTTCACTGGAGAAAAAGGACCATTCTGCAGATACCAGCTGACAGCGTTAACCTTTGTAAGCACTGAACCTGTTAGAAATGAGAGGAGATTTTTCTGTTTGTTTTAGTCATAGCCTATGCACAGACCCTGATAAGTCCTTCAGGACACAGCACTGCGTGCTCCCGAGCTGCCCCTTCCTTCTTCGACAGAAGTTAACTATTACAGACCAGCAGTTTCCTGACAAGACTTCCAAACGGCACTTGAATTAAAGATAACTCTGTAAGGATGTCTGGTTGACACCCACAGTGTTATTCATCCCTCAGAATTCCCTCTCGGAGGGGCTGTGACCATCCAGAAGCCCTCCAGTCGCTCTCAGTGCAGCCCTGCTCTGGGAAGCCTGGCAGCCATCCCAGCAAACAATTACAAGTTTGGGGATGCCAAGAGCACTGAGGTCCTGTTTGGCTGCCTCTGCCCAGGCAACATCCTTATGGGATTGTATCAGCAAATGATGAGCAGGCGTATGGATTGATGTTAATTCTTTTTCAGTGGTACGTAGGTTAGTGAAAGGTCTTTGAAATGGAGTGTGAGAAACTCCACTGCTCTTCTTGAGCAATTGTAGGAAGGTGGGATTGATCTCCCTTAAATCCTTTTTTTTCCTATAATCTACTTTTCTTTTTATTTTCTAGTGCTGTTCTTCCTGCTGCCAAGAGCTCAATTGTCACATAGATACTGGAGATCTATTGCCTATTCAGAAAGTAAGGCAAGTTAGTCTTTGGTATTTGCAGAACTATAGCAACAGCCAAAAATGTAAGAGGTGTATTTGGGATGAGAAGACCAAGAGAGTGAACAAAGCAAACAAGCTGTTACAAGTAATCTCTGAAACTGCGTGGGACATAGCAACGTCTGGGATGTCTGCTGGCACTGAAGAAAAGGACTGGATTGTGATGGGAGGCTGTGGTGAGCAGCACCAGAGCTTCCCAGTACAGAGAGCTGAGCTGCTTTGTGCTGTGTCTGTTCCTGTCTTGCCAAGCTGGACCCAGATGAAAGCTGCTTCCATCACAGGGGAGATGAATACCATCTTGCAGACATAGCGAGGATGCACAGGGTGCAATTTTGTCATTGGGAGTTTTTTTCATGTCCTGGCCACCACCAGGACAAAGCACAAAGCTCCTGGGCAGCATCCCAGTTCTGAGCTGTGTGCAGCAGGCAGGTGGCTGCTGAGAAGTGGGATTCCTTAGGTGTGGTGCAGTGGCATTCCATGTGCTGGTACTGCCCATCCTGCTTGTTGACACTGTGTGCACAAATCACAGGTGTGACATCTGTTTGTTTCCTAAACAATATGTTGAAATTATGGTGTCTTGGGAGGGATTTGTATAGCAAAGAGAGCAAGTTTAAATTAAACATTTTTTCCTAGAGTGGCACAGTGATGTTCATTAGCAGAGGGGAAGTGACACTGGTGGTTCTTTCTTGCAATCAGATCTGCCCACCAAACCCAGCGTGGGCAGCAGCCTATGGCAGAAAGCAGAGCTGCAGAGCTCTGCAGTACACCGCCACTGCCACCCAGCCTGCATATGGCTGGAGGTGAGGGTGTGCAGGAAGGTTTGGTATTTTGCACTGTTTCTGGCTGTTCTATTCTGTTACACACACCCTAAAAACAAATCGTGCTGTTTTTAAAGCAGTTCCTGTCCAAGAGTGTGACTGGTCATTGAGGGGAAGCTCCTCACCTTTTGCAAAAGCTCTTGGTGCCCGAAGGCTCGTTATTTGCTTCTCGAATGCCTCTGGGAAGAGCACAGTTTCCTAACTCACAGCCCAGGCTTTCACCCCTCTGTCCTGAAATGCAGCCGCTGTGAGGCAGCACCCGAGCTGGAGGGCATGATGTGGTGCGTGGGAGCAGCAAGCGCTGGAAGGAAGAGCAGTGCTGGAGCTGGTCCTTGCAGCCCTGCTTTGCAAGGCCGGAGTGGGACAGAAAGACTCATAAGGCACTGCCAATATTATGGTGGGATGTGGACAGCCTGGTGCTGGCACTGAGTGCCTGCCCTGGGCACGTGGTGTGTGCTGCTGCTCGCTGCATTCAGGTCAGCTTGGCTTCAGCCAGGCTTGACTGAGCAAAGACATCCGAACAAAGGAGTCACAGCTGCTAACCACAAACTAATTCCCTCTCGGCTCACACCTCGCCCTTGTGATGTCTGACTGCTCCCCAGACCCCTGCTAGCAGGCGCAGGAGGTGCCACGCTGTTACCTTCAGTGTCTTTCCTGCAGGAAGCAGCTGCCCATCCTGCTCGTGCCACATTCCGTGTCCCAGGTCTCCCACAGCCACCTCCGCTGCCTTCAGGCCCCGTCCGTCCCCTCAGTCCCTCCCTGACCCCCCTGACCCACACGTACCAGGCAGCGAGCGCTGTGCTCCCTCGCCCTGTAATTCAGAACAAACAAGCTGCCCTGCTTACAGCCTTTGAAGCTATTCCATGTGGCCTGAAGGGAGCCCTGCCACTTTTTTTCCACATCTCTATAGGATAATAATAAGTGTGTGTCCTACCACGGGAGGAAATCCTTCCCATCCCTGCTGTCTGCAATATTGCTCCCAGGATTGGCTCTTGTTCGCTCTGCCAGAAGCGCAGCCGCCCTTCTGCTGTTGTTCTTTTTTGCTCCAATGCTTTTTCTGACATCCTGCTGAAAAAGGAATAGGAAAACTGGCAAAAGAACTGCTCCATGTGACAATACTATGAGGCAGGGCTGGACAAGAGAGGGGTTGAACTTTCCTGTTTACATATTCTTAACAGATTTTGGCCAATACTGAGATACCTTTTGATGTTGAGTAAGGGCAGCAGTTTAGCACTGCTCATATATGGATTTGCCCTCCAGCCAGATGTAATATTCATGCAGATAATGGTCACCAAATGTCTTTAGGAAAATGGAATTATTAAAAAAAATATTTTCCAAATGACCCCTGACAACATGAGTATCACATACTCATTCCATAGTTTCCCAAAGGCTTTACAGTGAAGCTTCCTCCTGTTGCTGACAAAGCACTTTGTCCCTCCTGACGTGAAGATCACTGTCTTCAGGACTGCTGGGACATGGTTAAAGCATCCCAGCAAACTGATTTTGCCCTCAAAAGTTGTTGCAAAATGCCCGGGTTGGGCACAAATCAAAGTGACATCTGAGCCTCCAGGGAGCCTTGGTAACATCTGCAGAGCAGATATTGCAGCCATTGTTGGGATTGGCTGAGCTCGGCCAGTGCTGTGTTATCAAGGGACGAAATGATGAATTTCTGTCCTCATGCCACATATTTTCATCCTGCACTTCCTTTTGCAGCTTCAAAACCCAAGAATTCTGAGGACATCTCAAGGGATGCTGATTGCAGATAGAAGCTGCTGGTTATTTGCACCCCTCCCAGTCCAAGGGTTGCCCAGCTGGTCACACCAAGGCCTGGAGGCTCATATTTTGAATCAAAAACCTCTTTTTTTCTTTATGGGTAGAGTTTTTGTTTGTTTGTTTTCCTGTGTTTGAATACTTTTGAACTGAGAATTTTTTTTTTTAACATGTGGCTTTTAATCCTTTTGAACTAAAACTGCTCTCCATGTGGCTGCTGAAAAGGCACTGACTGTTCCCACATGCAGTTCAACCATCTCGGGTTTGGAAGCGCTCAGCAGCTGCACAAGTAGAAGCAAAAGGAAGCACAAGTGCCAACTATGTTAGAAAATACTTCTGTGTTTCTGTGATTTTTGGACGGTCAGGGAACCATTGTGCTTCACAGCTGAAGGGTGAGTTGATCAGATGCAAATTGTTTCCTTTTCCGCTAACAGAGCTCTTGGTCTGTCGCCGTTTTATGGAATGCATTTCCAGGGCAATCTTGCTGTGTGTGACATTGCTGGGCTCTGCTGGCTTCTCCTCGCCCCACTGCTGCCAGTGAGAAACAGGTATGGCGAAGCACCCTGCTGCCGAAAGCTGCCCTGGGCTTGCTATGCTGCTTGTTTTTTCCTTCAAAATTGCTTTTAATCCAGATAAGCATCAAGAACCATCCTGCAGCACTGCTCTGAAGTGGTAATTAGGAGGTAGGAGGGATTAATGGCTGCAGGAGGTGGTGGCAGAAGCCCTGGCAGCGTGGGCACAGAGCAATTCGTCCTGCGATGAGTCAGTGGGAGGCGCAGTGATTCTGCATTGTGCCACATTCAAGTGGCACGGCAGTGAGGAGCAGGCAGCGTTCCTTTAGCTCCCAACCCTTTAAATCCATACCCAGCCTGGACCTGCAACTGCAGCATTGTCATCAATTAGGAGGAAATTCTGCCGTGCCAGCCTCGGAAGGTGAGGTTTTGCGATATGCTTCTTCCAGTGTCATTGCATGTGGCTGGTGACAGCAGAGACATCCCAGCCCATCTCCTGCCTCTCACTGCTGGGGATGTGGTGGCTCACTCGGCCACCTTCAGGCACCAAGCCCTTTGCTCGCAGCCTCGTGAGCCTCATGCCCAAGCAAGAGCGTGGGCTGAGCTGCCATGGGACCAGAGAGCTGCTGGGTTGGGTGTGAGCACTTAGTGGGATGGTGGTGGAGGCAAGGGGAACACACCTGCTGGCCCCAGCCTGGACCCACACATGCGGCTGCTGTGATCTGTGGGATGCTGGGCACCAGGGCCAGTCCCCTCAGATGGCATTTAGTGCCTTCAGGGAGTGCCAGCACCCACTCCTATCACTGAGTGAGGATGGAAAATAAGGAGAGTTGTCGTGGTCACAAACAGCAAATAGAAAAATGTGGTAGCCAGCAGGAGGTAAAGGCAGCTGAAGAAATGGTGGTTGCATGGGAGGGAGGAAGGGAGAGATGCCTGCACTTGTTTATTCATTCATATTTTTACTAACCTTGTTATATTTAGACTACACCAGATGATATCAGAAGTGTTTTGCAACTAGTGATGATTTGGGGAATGGGAGCACTCTTTAGGGTCCCTTGAAACACCTGCTGGCCTAGTCTTCCTATGTGCACTGAGCTCATTCTGCACTGCTGAGGTGTGAGCACAGATCTTGTTCAGTTGTTGTGCTTTGTATTCTCTTTTGCTAGCAGGCTGTAATCAGCCAGGAGATGAGGGAAAAGGAAACTGCACCGTGCATTGAGACCTCTGCCTTTTCTGAGCTGGCACAGGAAAAGTCCTTCATTTCTTTGACAGCTGAGCTGAGGAAACAAACCACCACCTCCCTCATATTCCTAAACAGTTGGTGAAGTGGAAGTGGATCAGCTCTGATATAAAACAGCCTTACAGCTGAAGCTTGAAAAATGGTGTTTGATGTTTTGAGAAACAAGCTGGGACATCGGTGTCACTACTCTGAGTGCCTTTATCCGCTGGTGAGGTACATTGTTCCTTGAAAAGTCCATCAAGGATGTCAGATATACAGTGCAATTCCTCTTGCATCCATCTGATTTTGTTTTCTGTGATAGTGAAGATTAATGAGCGCTTTGTCATAAACCTCATTCACCTTTCCCTGGGCCAAAGGTAAATTCTTCAAGTGATGGAAAGGAAGGACACAAAGTCGGGGTCCAGGGGCAGCAGTGCCAGCACTGGGCAGGGACCTGCGAGTGCTGCTGTGGTCACACGCATGCGATGCCCTCAGTGTGTTGTTGCTACATCCTGATGGATTGTGCTGGATTTCACTCCCACAAATCTCTCACTGATGTGTATCACAGGGGTTGTTTTGGCTGAGGACAGAGAGGGAGGCAGAAGTGCTCAGCTCCCAGCCTTCCCAGCACAGGGAAGAGATTCAAAGCTCTCCCTCGTTGTCTGACTGTTGTACAGGACTCACCCCAGGTCTATGCAAAGCAGATCCGTATCTTTTGCACTTGTTCACACCCTGTCCTACATCTGCAGTAGGTTTTCATGTGGGGCTTTATTTGGTGCCATACCTGTGCAGCAATTGTGCTCTGTGCCAATGCATGCACTTGAGCACAGGGTCTGCATGCCCCCAAAGGTGGTGAGTTGTGCTATGAGCAATGCAGAGCAGCTAAGCAGGGCTGCAGTTTCTTGTGCTGCACCAAAGGAGGGATGTGCATTGGCTTTTGCTAGACCCATTACTCTAGGGAAGAGCTAGCTAGGCTAGCTCCGTCCCCTCATTCTCCTCCCTTATCTCTCCTCTGAGGTTTCTGCTGGCTTTCCCACTTCCTCCTATTGTATTCCTGGAAAAGGGAGGGTGGGAGTGGAATTCTCCACCAGACCTTTATCTGCCACTGTGCACAAGGTAGTGGGCAAGCTGCAGTCCTAGTTTGCAGTGCTGCATACTGAACTTTTCTGTTCTCTTAGGGCAAGCCTGTGCTGTCTGCACCGCCACCCAACGCATCAGCAAGGACTGGACCTGGCCAGAGGAGATCCTGCTTGGGAAATCAGGTTTTATAGTGTCGCTATGTTGGAGCAGATCCATCTGCTGGCTGCCGTGACGGTTCTTGGGGTCCTGGAGCAAGGTAGGGACCATCATATACCCATGCTCAGGTACCGCCTGTGTTGGTCTGCCATACCTCCATTATTTCCTTTCACTTCCATGCTGTTACTGCTGCCATGCTGCCAATTTACTGCTTTCAGTGAGTGATATCTTCTGTGGTTTTTGAACACTAAAACAAAAAATGTGCCTGGCATGCCAGCCTCCTTAAAGTTCTCCCCAGAACTAACACACCTCTTTTGTCTTGATATCTCTTGGTCGATCTTCTCTGTAAACACTTAGAATTTCCTTATTTGAAACACAGGTTTGCAGTAGATTTGCAGTTGATGTAGATCATAGCATAAAATATACAGGATGAGGTGGATTGCATGGAAATCTCAACCTTAACGAGGGCTCCACACTGCATGACTATAGACCTCAGCATCTGGGTGGCTTATCTGTGGCATCAGTTCCCTCTCTGCTTGGCTATCAGAATTTAGAAGGGGAAAAAAACAAAGATCTTAAGAAAAAAACAACAACAACAAATGGAAGAAAGAAACCAGATAGCCACTGGTTGTATGTGACTGCATACTGCTTGCTTCACCACTGCACAGGTACATTCCTTTGCCTTGTCTGAATGTGCCCAGCTCTCTCTGGAATGTGGGGCTGCGAGGTCAGAAGGAAGCTGCAGGACATTCCCCCTTACCTCCTGCCAGCTTCCTGGCCACCAGGCCAGTCCCAATGACTGACCCATGCCACTTTTCTCTCCTTTGCTGCAGCCTACTTCTTCCTCCAGGTGATCCATGCAAGGCGCACGTTTGGCGTTTCTCCTCCCAACATCTCAGGCCCACCTGAATTTGAGCGGATCTTTCGAGCACAGTAAGAAACTTCTCTCATGACGTGCTTTGCAGCCCTCCTGTCTGGGGGCACTGCTCGTCCCTTCCTTTGCTGTTCAGTTTCTCTGATGCCTTGCAGCACTTTGGAGATGTCCACCTCCCCTGGGGTCCAGTTAATGGATAGAAGGGTCGGTACTGGGATTCCGTGAGCTCAGAGAGCTTTGAGTGGGGCTCAGAGCGGGACTGCCCAAGTTCAGCATCTCTGCTGTCAGTCCTGTGTCCTGCATGATCTTCCTCCTTTCCCTTGTTTATAACTTTTCTCTTTCCCTCTAGGGTGAACTCCTCAGAGTATTTTCCCATTTTCGTGGCACTCCTGTGGCAGGCTGGACTCTTTTTCCACCAAGGTGAGAGCAGCCCCACAGCTGCTTGGGTGCCAGATCTGCAGTGCTGCCTCTGTCTTCGGGTCCTGCTCACCCTCTGAGGAATGAATTAGGCAGCAATACTGTCTGATAGGAGTTCAGAGACAGTGGGCACTGCCTCTATTCCTCACCTTCTGCTCTCCATTTAGGAGCTCTGTAAATCCTCTGGAGCTCTCAATATCTCTCAATCACAGGTCTGGCTGCAGCCCTGGGCCTGCTCTATCTTTACTCCCGCTATTGCTACTTTACGGGATACAGAGCATCATCCTCAGACAGGTAACACCTCCAGCCAGTGCTGACTGCTGGGTCTCAATTTGCTCAGTTCCACAAGCTGTTTTGGGGTTGCTGTGTGAACCAGTGCTGGGCACAGCGTGGACAAGGGCCATGGGGTGAGGCTGGAGCCAGGGCTGCCTCTCAGCCCTTGGTGGGAGCAGGGCATTCCCACAGCAGCACAGTGATGTTCGGTCTCTCCCCCTCCAGGCTCACCCCCATCTACTTCAGCACCGGCGTTCTCTGGGTGCTCGTCGCAGCAGCGACCCTGGGCCTCCTGCATTTCTTTCTCTCTCACTATGTGGGTCTGAATGTCCTCCGGCTGCTTGCAGCATGATGCTCCTGGCCATCACTGGCATCACCACTTCGTATCTGCCCCCAGCTACAAGCCCACCTCACTGTGCTTCCAACACCTGTGGAGCTGGCAGAGCCACAAAGGCCTTTCTGAAGGTTGTTTGTGCCCAGCACTCCATGCCTAGCTGCTCTGTATGACTGATGGCCAAAGCAAGGAGAATTTTTGGAAAACAGAAGTAAGCTCTTCTCAGCCCCCGCATCCAGCCCAGGCACCGTGGGGTCAGCACAGCCTCCCATGGTGCACAGCCAGGAAGAGAATTTCTGAGGAAGCATCCACAGGCTGGGGCAGGGCAGAGACAAGGGGCGACCCAGATCAGGTCCCTGCACACTGCTGGCTGTGCTGCAGCAGTGCTGCTGCACACAACATGCACAGGAGCTGCTGCCAATAAAAGGACACTGAGCTTGCTGAGCTATGCATGTCCTCATGGGTCTGCATCTGGCACAGGGCAAAACCTCTCTTTTGGGGTGCAGGGCTGTTTGGTTTCCCTGCAGGGATGAAGACAGTAGTGGTGCAAAGCTGGTTATCAGCAGTGCAGAGCTCTTCAGGTGGGCTCAGCCCCTGTGACAACAGGGCTGGAAACGCTGGTTCTGTAGGCTGGCAGTACACAGCTCAGGGAATAGCAGAGGTGCTCTGTTGCCCTCGGCACCAGGAACCTCTCACCAAATTCAGCGAGAACAGCTGCATCAGCGTGCTGCTGGATTAACAGGATTGTAAGCCTTGTCATGCTCCCTCCTTTCCCAGTGACAGGCATATCTTACATTGGAAGAACACAAAGCACTTTTTGGGGAAGTTATGAACTTTGCAAATTGCTTAACTTCCTTCCCTGTGGTTTAATTGCTTTGTCCAGCAGAGCCCCGGTCTGTTTCCCTTTCAGGCTCTTGGATTTGTGCAAACAATTCAATTCCAAACCAAACTAACAGCACTCATCTGTGCAAAGTTTCCAGCACAGCTCCAACCTTACGGGAACCCCCTGGATGTGAAATCCCCCCTCAAGCCCGGGCAGGTCTTGCAGCCGGAGGAGAGCTGCTCCCCTCTCCCAGGGATGCCGCCATCGCTCTGCTCCTCCTGCACCAGGATAGCAAAACAAACAAACAAAAAAAAACAAAAACACTTCGATCCGGACCATGGCTCCACGTCCATGTTTGGGATTTATCAGGTTCAAAAGCTGAGGCACGAGTGGGTGCGGAGATCCACCGCCCACCCGCAACCGCCAGGGAGCCTCTGTTCGCCCCGCTGGGAGCACCAGGGGGCGCCGGTAGCACGCGGCTGCGGGGCCGGGGGCAGCGGGACCGGGAGCGGGAGAACGAGGCTGGGAAGGCCGAGGGAACGGGGGGATCAGGGACGGCCGCTCCCGGGGTGGGCAGAACGTCCCGCTGCTCCTCCCAAGCACGCGAGGCCGGACGGCATGCGGGGTAGGCAGGTTACAGATGTCATTGTAAATGCAATGCAGTACGTGATGGTGCATTGAATGAGGTGGCTTAGTGCTGGGAATCGGTGATCTCGAAGGTTCAGGCTAGATGGTTCTGGGATTCTGCGTCTTCTGCACAAAGCTTTTTGTGACCCATTTCACACAGCCCTGCTATTAAGGTTACCAGTGGGAGGGAGTCCTGTAGCCCCACAGAAACCACCCCGACGTGTCTTAGTAATGACCTGAGAGCCCCTGCAAGTGCCTCACAGGTTCCTGGACCTTCTTGCTCCCTCTCCTGCTGCCAGCAGGAGGGCAGCTCAGCTCAGGGTACCTGGAGGGAAATTTGCAGCTGGATGAATGGGAGCTCAGCAAAGAACTAAGAAAACATGGTGAAGCAGTGAGAATCCTTCTATACTGAGAAAAGCTCAGAACCAGGCCTCCCTTCTGCACTTCCCTGTGTGCAGCGGGGAGGTGGAGGCACTGAGCTCTGCCCACCAGCAAAGCCACTGCCTCCCCAGCAGGGATGGCCATGTGGGTGCATGCTTGGATTCATGTGCACGTGCAGAAACTGAGGCCCCTGTAGGGCTTTTATGCTCCATTGAAGAAGTTCATAGCATGTTGACTTGAAAACATCAAGGGTGCACACACATTGTTTCCTATCCAACATGTGACAGCTGTGCAGGATACATGCACAGAGAGGTCTGGTGACAGGGCTACATGCAGCCCACAGCACCCAAATGCTGTGCCTGGGGCCAGAGGAGGCCATGCAGCTGGCAGCAGGAAGAACTACTTGTTACCAGAGGTAGTATCTCCTCGGGGTGCTGCACATGCAGCCCTGCTGAGCTGGGAAGGGTGCAGCAGGTGGCCTGGTGGCCTGGTGTTGTGGCTGGCATGGCACCAAGATTCCCATAGCACCAACATCCATGGGCCAAGGAGAGGGAGGGAAGTAGGTCAGAGTGGGTGACAGTACCCAGACAGAGCTCAGGCTGGTGAGGGAAAGGGGATGAAGCAGAGGACAAAAGTAGAGGGGAAGGAGACAGCTGAAGAATGAAAAAAGGGAAACGAAGCTTTCATATTTCGAACAGCTCATTTCTTTCCCTTCAGAGAAAAAATAAAAAAAATAAAAAAAATAAAAAAGGAGGAGGAGAACCTCTTAAAGCCACCTTTGTATATCAGTACTGAGAGACCAAGGCCAGCACCCAACTCCTGCCCATCTGACAACGAGCTGCGACGGAATTCAGATGCTAATTTGTAGCCGAGCTCCTCAATGGGTCTTTATTCCCACAGCTCCGGCTCCCGGCGGACCGGCCAATGGAGGAAGCTCGGCCGCGGCACGGGAAAGCTTCCCTTTCCCTCCTCTTTCCCTCCTTCCCTCACCCCGATGCTGTTATCGGCTCATCTCGGTTTTATCTGCTGACATTCGAGGGCAATGAAAAGGGAAGGAAGTTGTGCAACAGGAATAACGACCCATCTTACGAGCAGGAGCTGCAGGGACCGCAGCAGTGTGCATCAGAGCAAGGAGTGCTTTGCTCCGAGGAAATCGAAGAGTGCACTGCACCGGCAGAAACCAAGAGGTTGGCACGGTGCTGGTGGAGACAGAGCGAGAGGGGATGCAGTGGATGCAGTGCTGGTGCACGGATGAAGAGAGGGGCTGCAGGGAGGTGTGGATGTTCCTGCGGACTGGGGAGGGCAGGCAAATACTGCCTGCAGGGAAAGAACATTCCTAGATTAGATACCATGGTAAAACCCAAGCAAAACCAAAGCTGTCCACCATTTTGTATTATCAGTCAAGATAGGTAGGCCTGGAAAATCCACATGCAAAGGTTAAAATTTGCCTAATCATCACCAGTTTTATACATCCCAGTAAATAACTCTTCTCAGGCAGCACAAAGAATTGATCTTTTCCTGGTTAGGTGAGAGCTGTAGTGTACATGAGGTCGGTAGGATCTAATGCAGCCTCTGAAGGAGAGGATGGACACATGCTGCAGTGTTGCTCTAAAACCAACAGTAAGAGGTAGGTAGGAAGAGCAAAGCAGAGCCAGCACTCAGGAAGATGCACAGAGCACTCCTGGTCTGTACATCAGCTGTATCACTTGGGCACTGTGTCACTCAACAGGAGAAAACAGAGTGACCCTGCACAGCCAGAGCGGTGTTACCACATGCGACAGGAGGCGGGGGTCACCAGGTCAGCAAACATGGAAACAGTGAGCACTGGTGGTCACTGCTCCTGGGCTAAGACAGGCTTCATCTCGTGACTCCACGTCACGGTCAGATCTATGGCTCATCGACTGCAGTGGGCTCCTCGTGGCTCCCCTGCCTCAGTGCCTGCAGCCCTCCCTGCCTGTGTCCCTGGAAGCTGCTCCTTGTCTGTCATGATGCTCCCAAGAATAATGAGTTTGGCAAGGGCTGGGCTGTGAGCTAGAACTGCAATGTTATCTGTCCAGCTACATAGATAATGCAGCACACTCCCCCAGAACCAGACTGGGGCACCCCCATTGTAAAGTATTTACAGATTTACAGCTCATTCTGCCTCTGGGAGGGAATAAAGAAATGCAGACAAGTCTAATTGCAGAGGATGCACATGGACGCTTGCCCACCTCCTTCCTGGCAGGTGCAACACCAAAGTGCCAAAGAGCTGCAAATGTTCTGCCTGAGCCCAGAAGCAGCCTTCCCAGAGACCAGCCTTTTTAGCTCACCCAGCATGGCCAGATGGCTCCTGGTTCACAGCTGACTCATGCCCACCACGCTCAGTCAGGCAAAGCATGCAGACAGCTGAGGTGTGCTGGGAGAGGACTCTTGCTGTAGGAGGATGCGATCACACAGGCAATTCTTCCACGTTGCCAGATATGAAGGATGGTCTGAGCATAAGCTGTGAATAACCTGGTGGTATAAAGGCAAGGGTGATAGATTCAAACAGGACAGCAGCTTCAGAGAAAAAGACTTGGTATCTGCCTCTATCTTCAGCAAAGTGTAGCAGATTCTCAAATTGGTTTTCAGACAGACTTGACTCTTCAGTAAACTTGATAAGGAAAACAGAAACATGAGCTCTTGCCCAGCCTCTGCTGCAGAGCACCGCATTCAGTGTAATGAATAAGGACGGAAGGGGTGAAAAGGAAGAAAGGAAAGGTGAAGTGTAACCAAAAAGCTTCTGGATTTGCCCAAAACAAAAGGGAGTTGGAGGGTGGATTAGCAAAGCAATAAATTGAAAAAAGGAGCGGATCATGAATGTGGCCATGTTATCTAATATGGTAGAACACACAGCGTGCATATTTAATAGTATTGTTTAGCTTGTATTTATCACAGCTAGAGGCTGTCTAGTGCTATGGGTAGGGACAAAAGAAAGGTTATAACGAACTCTGGGGCTTCTGAGTCTCACGTGGAGAAACTGTTACTAGTATGGGACTTCTATATACTTCCCATTTTCAGACCTCAAATGATACAGCAAGTCAGCTGCTAGCAGCATTTGGTGAGAGATAATCAGGTTTGCAGATTAACTGTTAGATCCTGAATTATACATGCTTATATGCAAACACAAGGAACACGCAACACGTCTAGACGACTGAGCTGTGGCTGAGACTTGAAGGATTAGTCTTACAGTAGAACAAATGGAAAACTTCTAGCTAGGAAAGCGGGAAATGTACAGACCACACAGCATTCGGACCAGGATGAAGTGTTGTCATCCTTTCAGAGCAGGTATTTAGACTCTGATTGCTGGTTTTTGTTTTTGTATTTTTTTTCTTCTGTGATATGGCAGTCAATAGTAACAGAATTATTGGTGATTACTTTTTGCACTGCAGTAGAATCTCCAAAGTTCTGTTGGGGATCAGCATCTGCACCACTTCCAGACATGCAATATGTCTCCATTTGCTTAGATGCCTATAAAACACTTGAAGCAGAGCCGTAGAGTTCCTCTACTGTTTTACTGTTCAGGAAAGAAACTTAAGAAACCTAACAAACAACAGTGTATGGCTAGTTCCAAGCAGAAATGTCCTGAGCAGGTAGCAAGCTTCAAAGAAGAGCTTTACTTTAATCCTTTGGTCTAACTTAATACTTAACATTTCTGCCCAGCCTTGTGCATCTCTCTGCAGGCTGGATCAGAGTTCATGCAGCCCATCCCCATTCACCATGAACTTCAGTGAGGATGTCACATAGGGCCGTGTTAATATTGAACAATTAATTTCTCCAGTCGGTTTCTACCCAAGAGGGCCCCCCTTTTTTGCCCATTTTCTACCAGATGGACTACAAAACTCAGCATGCTGATCTCCCTGTGCAGACTTGAACACAGCTTTATTTTCTTTCTGTTAATGAAAGTGGGAAAACAAGAACAGCTCCTGTTTCCACCAGCCTGCAGGTATGCCTTTTGCAGGAACAGGCCAGTGAAATTCTGAAGCTGAACAAAGCTCTTTTAGAGGAAAACAATTACCTGAAGCTGCAACTTGAGTTGCTGAAAGACATGCTGACATGCAACAGCTCAACCATGCCTGTTGGAGGTGTAGGCGTCAGACTGCAAAAAACAAACGAACAAACAAACCAACACAGCAACAAAAACACAACCAACAACAGGTAAACAGACAGTCCTCCAAGAGATAGTGGAAGCAAGACCCAGAGGTCTGCACATTCATCGCTTCAAGAAACCTAATAAAATCCTACATCAAAAATTTCTAGCAAGATTTTTGTCCCCTATCTCATGCTTTGCAAGTGCTCATTTATTATGAGACTCCCCTTACTTGCAAAGGCTCATCTCAGGTACGGCAACACAAGAAAAGGGCTGCTGCCTTCAGTTGGCAATTGTTTTCAGTTTTCAAACACCACGTATATGTTGGTTAATTATAACTCTTCTGATAACTATTTCGATCTTTGCTTGCCTCTCTGCATGTCTGCCTTTCTGCTGTTCACTGCCACATTCTTCCTCCTGGTAGTGGCTGCATACAACGCCTTGTTGGCTGTGTCAGCCCGGGCAGGCGTTTTGCCGGCTCTTGCAGTTACATATTTACAAAGAAGTCGCATGACCTTTATTGTAACACTAGGAGAGTATGCGTGTAGCAGGACTGCTTCCCAGTGTAAACACAGGAAGACTGCCATTTCCGAAGTGCCCTCTAAAGAGGAAAGTCAGAAAGCAGACTTCAATAGGCATATGATCGAGACAGCATTCGATAGACCTGACTTTATTTATCACTGAAAACCAGACAGTGCAGCCCACTGCAAAGCTGCGCACTGCTGTGGATCGCGTTGAGTACAGCAGAGAGCCAGCCCCAGTAATCAGATGTTGTAACAGAGACTAAAAAGGCCAGAGCAATAAAATGGCACTTACTAAATGAGCCTCAGCCTAAGTTTATTAACACTAATTAAAGGAGGACAAAAACGGCTGTCAGAAATGAAAACGTTTCAGTAGGAATTAGCGCAGGGGCTCACTGCACATTGGCCGCTCAGTCAGGAAAGCTGCGAGGAGATGCCACACCTGCGCAGTCCTAAGGTCAGCCCGTATCAGACCCATCCCTCTGGCTCCTTCGCAGCTATTCCAAGCCGTCCTAGCGACGCATTCTTTCTAACAGTACTTTCGCTAAGAGCTCTTTGCAACAACGCTCTACAGAAGGAGCAGGTCGGGCTAGGAGTGCCGCCGAGGGGCCGTGGAGAAAAGGTCCGCGACGGCGTAGGGCCGGCCCGACGAGGGCTCCTCACGGCCCTTCCCGCCTCGCCCTGCCCTCCCCTCAGTGCTGTCCCCGCCTCACAACGCCTGCAGTCCCCCGAGCGCCGCCCCGCTGCGGCCAGGAGCGGCGCTGAGGAGAAGAGCGGTAGCTCTGCCCGTCCGGCTCCGTCGCGCGGGAGGCGGGGCCAGGCCCGCTGACGACCGCAGTGCGCCGAGCCGCCGCTCCCCGCCCGGCGCCGCGCAGCGCCGTGAGTGAGGGCGCGGGGCGGGGTTGGTTGGTGCGAGGCGGGCGGTGGGGACAAAGCGGCCGCCATCTTAGGTCTGCGGGCGGACGGCGGCGGCGAAACGGGTGCGCGGGGCTGAGCGCCCCCCGACTGCCCAGATCCGTAAGGCGAAGCGTGGGGCCGGAGCGCGCGAGCGGCCACAGCCCCCCACCGCCAGGGGAGCCATTAAGAGATCATCCCTGCACCTCTCTCCCCCTTTCCTCCATCTTCTCCCCCCCCCCCCCCACCCGCAGCGAGCGGCGGGATGTGATTGGTCGGTTTTAACTTGTCGCGCTGCCATTGGTCGGCGGCCGGCGAAGGGGTGGGGGCGGGCGGCGCGTGACGTCAGCGCGCAGCGCAGCGCGGCCGGCGGCTATTTATAGGAGCGGAACGGCGCTGCGCAGGAGCGAGCAGGCGGGTCGGGCCTTGGAGGGCCGGAGGTTCCATCGGGCTTCATCCCCGCGGGAATAGGGAACAAGAGGTCGGAAGGTCGCGATCCGCCTTCGCCGAAGCCTCTTTTCGGCGTTCGCTGAGCTTTTGTCTCCGTCTGTACAGCGCTCGAGCGCCCCGTCAAGCTTTTGTCTTCTCCCGGGCCCTGTCCGGAAAGGCGCGGCCGAGATGGACCCCTGTCACACCGAAGAGACCGAGGGCGAGATCCCCGGCTTGGGTAAGGCCGTGTGGCGGCGGGTGGCGGCCGAGAGCGGCGTCGCGTGAGGAGAAACCGGTGGGGGTGGGGCGGCGGGTGGGGGAGGGGCGATCCGAGGCCCCGGCGCCGTGCGGCCCCCCCTCGTGTTGGCGCCTGCGGGCGGCGGGGCGCGTATGGCGCTGAGGGCCCGGCGCGGCCGCGTGTGCCGCTCCCCCCCTTCCCGCTTTCTCCTCCCTTCTCCCCCCCGCGCCGCGTGCGTCGTGGCGGTCGTTGAGCTCCGGGTGGGGGTTACGGGTTGAGGCGCCCGGCTGGGCGGCTTTGGAACGGGGAGGAAGGTTTGAGGGGGGGGCGGGGAGAGAGCGGTGCCGCGGGCGGGCGGGTTGCTGCGCGTTTGTTGTCCTGCCGACGGCTCCCCCCCGCTCCCTGCTGGCCTTGTGGTAAGGGGGGGGAGGAGTGGGGGAAGGGGAATTCCGGTGATGGGGGAGATCGTATACGAGGCACCCTTAAATGAGAGTTTGTTCCAGGTGTAATCCTTCTGGCTGCAGTAATGCCTGACCTTAAGTAGTGTAAATCCCTTGAAAACAGCCATTTAATGAGGCACAAGTTGAAAGGAAAGGCTCAGGACGCCATAACAGTCTGATCTTAAAATGGTGAACTATGCCAATTATTGCAAAACAACCCTCCCCGGCGCCTGGTATCTATATTTACCGGTTGTCAGTTGCTGATAACCACTTAACTCCTCTGTGCTTGGAGCCAGCTACCAGCCTGTGTTATTTTGAAAATGTTTATTAAAGAGTAGAGAATATACACAAAATGAAATACATTATCAAGGCACTCTGTATTTTTCTTTAAAATACACAGTAAAGTCTATCTAAAAAAACACAGTTCAAACAAACAAAACTACTTTTCTGAGGTTTATAAGTTATACTGACAGTACATCTAGTTTAGCTAGACTGTTGAAGACCACGTGACTGTTCGGTTTAACTCTTGAGTTCCAAGCATTTCATGTATTTCTTAATTCTTCTTAAGAAGTCAGGAAAGATTTGATCTGTGGAAACAAAAGCGTATGTTTATCATGTTCTAAAAAGAAATGGCAGAACACCAGAAGTTTCCCCCTTTTCAGAAGGAACAAAGGAGGTGTTACTGTACTCCTTCTGCATGCTGGTCTCCAGTGCTGTTTTGCCTCTACATACAACTCATCTACATATAATTTGTGATCTGAAATGCCTTTTACTATAATTAGTACTGGGTAGACTTGAGTAACCTAAATAATTCATTAGAAAGATAGGGAAGGTAGCTTTACCGTATATTGTTCCATTAAAGAAAAATGGATATGCCTTCACTAAGTAGCCCTTCCTTAGGAAAAAGGGGATTGTCTGAAAATCGAGCCAAGCTCTGCTGTGTTTTCCATAGTGGAAGATGCAAATTCATAGCAAACACCACCATGTTATGTTGAGTGAACATTATGCACCCAAGCATAGATTTAGATTTTAGATTCAAACATTCATCTTTAGCATTGATGACCACAACAAGACAGAAAAGTAGTTCCTAGGATTTCTTTTGCTGTGGACTGGGTACACAGTAGTTAGCTACAGCAGAGTGCTTTGGGGCATTTATTCCCTGATCTTGTCTTTCCCCAGAACTAGCAAACACCATTTTGTCTGGTGAACTCAGAGTTTCTTCTGATGGCTGTTGGATTTCTGTGTTCCTTCTTAAAGTGTCACATCGTGCACACAGACCTGCATACATCCTTGTTTCTCAGATATGTTGTGCTGTCCGTGGACACCCTTGATATTTGAAGGAGCACAAGTAGCTCTGATCTGACTAGCAGTTTCTAAAGGCATCATGGATGGCATGAATTGCACGCTACCGCTGTGTCAACTATTTAATGAATGGTGTGGCAGTGCAGACTTGGCAGGGAGCAGTCAGTCTGACTGGCCTCCACAACTGCCCCTCTTTAAAAAATAGTCATTTCTCCCTTGAACTGCTTCAAGTAAGGGATTAAATGGTTTTGTAGAGGAAGATTAAATGCATCTTCCTCATCCGTGTGATGAAGAGGGCCAATTGTAGAAGCCCCAGATTACTACTACGTAATTCTGTATTTTGAGTTTTTAAGGTAATACATTAAAAGTCATAAAATTCAGTAACTTCCAATTGTTACCGCAGGAGAAAACATGTAATACTTACCTCATCAATCAGGTACTCCTGTTTAATTTTATCATTTTTAAAATCTTCATTGACATCCAAAACAAGAATAGGAATCTCCTTAAGGTTCTCAAAATCAACTCTGTTAAAAGATGAACATAGCTTTACAAATTACTTTATATAAAGCTTTACTCACACAGTGTTCTAATTGCTTTCCAAGGCATCTCAGATTACCACGTACACCTGGGATGTTGATGACTTTGGTATAAATCCCTGTCCTTAATCACTCATCTGCACTGCATCACTGTAATGTACATTTCATAGGACTGGCTCTTGGTAGGAAGAGGAAGAACATTCTTTATGCTTCTCTACCTCATTCTTTTTGCTGTGGAGCCAACTATCAGGAATCCAATTTTTATAAGAGGGAGTGAATATTTTCCTCTGAAGTACCTCTTGCCCTGTGTGTCCCCCACCACCTTTGTAGTTAGCTGCTAATCCATTTACCAAGATGAAGTTTTAAAGCTTCCTTTTGGGAATGACCTCTAGCAGGTTCTAAGACTGGTGTTTAAAGTTGCTAGGAGATGAGCAAGACAGTTTCAGCTGCGGCCTGACAGCAGTGGCTGTGCAAGTAGATGTCACTTAGAAAATTCGTGATTTAAGAGAACTGTCTATGCTTGAAAACAATTTCCAGAATGCAGTGAAGGGGGCTGAACAGCATTCTAACTTGTATTAAAAATACAGGAAATGTTTGCTCATGGGTTTGGAATGAGTACACAATGTAAATGTTATAATTCCACAACACTGCAATACATTCTTGTCTCCTGAACTCTTGGGTCATCCTACATGAATTCTAGACTTAGTAAAAGCAGATGTGCCTGTTCAGCTTAACGTACTTTTCTTGGAATTGTTTTGCATCTGTTAGCACACCATCTGGAAGTAGTTTTGTTTATTTCAGCTGAAAAGTCACGCTTGCCTACCAGGAATATCCTGAACTCTTCTATGATTTTTTTTTTCTGTTGTTGCAATGGACTTAATATGCTGATGTCATTTATTACTGCTGCAGTCAGTAATAAATGTTTAACCTCTTGTTTGCATTCAGTAGACTACTTCAGGTTCTTATAGGGAAAACCTGAAGTTAGCGTTTATGTCCAGCTAATTCCTACGTGGGGAAAGCTGATAAGTATGACTCAGTAAGAGTCGGGGGGGGGAAAAAAGACGTGCAGAGATAGCTTAGTCACTGGCATGTTTCCTTCATACAAGGGACTGCCAGAAGCCTTTCTGATAATTGCTTGTTTTGAAGGTAGGGTTAATATTTAAACCTTGCTGAGACACAGTCACCCGAGTTTAAAGGTAATCAGGACTTTACCTTCGCTTACATTGGAAGTTGCTTAGTAAGGAATTAGCCACTGAGTCCAATTTCAACTGCCCTATTTCTATGTACTTCCAGTTCTAAACTTAAGGAATTGCTGGAGAAAAATCACAACTAGCATAGCTTTTCAGTTGAAGCTAATGCTTAAGTCATTCCAACCATGCCCGAGTGAAACTAGAGATGGATCTCAGGCTTTTTTCTACCTTCTGATTGATAGTAAAAACTTGCTTATAAGTTGAAATGAGAATTAGCTGGTAGTTGTCTGGTTCCTCATGGCAACAGGTTATTTAAGCAATTTTGCCCACATTAGTGGTCCAGGGGAAACAGGTTCCTACCTCATACTTCTTTCGTACAGCCACGTCTCATGTTTATAGTGGAGGTTTTCCAAGTACTCGAGGTCAATTCCTTCCTCCTCTTTTCTTCCCCTCTTCTGTAGCCTTTCCATGCATTTCTGAAAAATTGCAAGCCTGAATGTTAACAATGTATTAAAGTAGTCATTAAATCAGAACCATTAATGTGTAACGTGAAAAATTATGAAGGTTTGAAAAGCATTAGGCATCAGTGAGCATTAATTTGAATGCTTGGGTGAGTCACAAGTCAACAGTTCTTACTGAAAGATTCTTTCCTTCCCATACGCTGTTGTTGAAGTACAGCTCTAAAATGAGCTTTGGCTGCTTAGTGACTAGGAGATAATAGCAGAAACAGCGTTTGTAGGCTTTAGAAAGGATATGTTCAATTTGGTCTCTAAAGCAAATCTGAGTTTACTGAAGGCTTCCTGTTACTTTCGGAGAAGAAAATATCCTGGTTCAGTGTGTTAGGGTGTGAAGTCACTGCAGTATGTCATACATAAATACTTCAGCATACCTGAGGTGTGGTCCTTAGGTAGATCATCCCATCCAGTTCTATTTCAGATTGAAACTGATTTAAAAGCCATGTGTGCCAGTCCTGATAGATAGCCCACTCTGTTTCATTGATGTTTCCAGATTCAAACAGGTTAGAAGCAAACACATACCTGCAATGAAAAACACTAGTGTCATGGTAGGAATAACGTAAGTGAACTTTGTAAGTACTTCCCATCAGAATCAGTACTGAGAACATCAATGACATAGACCTACATCTGCAATGCTCCCTACATCATTGAACTCGTGCCTGTTGGTTAAAACTGCTTCTTACAGATAATAGTTAAAAGTGTTGAAGCTGTTACTCTGAGCTCTTGTTACATTGGATCATTACCTGTCACTGTACACAGATCTCTCAAAAAATTGCACTGGATGTTCTGCTTCATGCAGCTTGGCTGAGATGGGTTTCAGTTGTGCCCTTACTCGGCTCAAGCAGGCATAAGTCTGAAAAGTATAAGCCCATCTTGTAGGTTTATCGTACAGCATTTGAAGTAGGTTTCCTCCACTCTTCTGAGAAGTTGAAAGTTCCTAGGGGAGAAGAGAGAAGACTTTCATAGGGCTTCATAGGCTTTTATTCCTTCCTTAATGTCTCTTAAGAAAAGCACAGTGGAAATGACTGAATGGACTTGGGAGGAAACAGCATCTCTAGAAACTAAGTACAGGCGAATTTTGGCACGATTTCCTTGGTGAATGACTTCAGTTTTCCTCCCATGCCCACCTTTCCTTGGGCCCCCCGGCACAGCACACCCACCTCGCACTCATCCTCGCTGGTCTGGATGTTGCACCACTTGGCGATGGGCTCGGGGATCACCTCCCACTCATCGCTGTGCTTCTCCAGCAGCCTGACAAGTGTAGACTTTCCGGCTGCTGCAAAAGATTCGTAAAATGCAGAGTGTGAGTGTTAACTGGGCTGTTGTGGCGGATAGGATAGTGGCAGCTGTGAGGTTTCTTGAGAGACCGCAGGCTGCGTTTGTGCAGTGCTGGGCATGCAGAGGTGCGTGTGCACGGCCCTGCCATAGCATCTTAGCAGGGCCAGGCGCAGGCTCGGGTACGTTCTGAGAAAAAGGCGCTAATCTGCAGCGCCGGAGCTGGGTCCGGGCGATAAGGATGTAGCGGGGCCCTCGTGGGGCCGCCCGCGCCGCCATTTTAGGAGCAGGCAGTGCCGCGTTGTTGGCGGGCTGGCGGGGCAGAGCGGGGCTGCTGCGCCTGCGCGATGCTGGGCCGGAAGGGGGGGGAGGGGGGGGGGGGGGGAGAAAGCCGCGCGCATGCGCGATTAAATGGCCAGCTGGCGGCGGCTGAGCGCTGGTGTACAGCGCCGCTTGCGGGCGGGAACTCCCGAGTGCGGTAACGGGTGGAGGCTCGCGGCTGCTTCCAGGTGGATGCGGCCGCACCGAGAGAAGCCGTGTTGTTATAGCGCCCGGCGGCACCGCTGAGGTACATAACAGGGACGGAATGCATCCGTCCCGGACAGCCGGCGGCTGCGGATGGTGGAACGCAGTGCCTCTGCCTCTGGTGGTGGTGCCGCTTCCGAGCGGCGCACGGATGCAGCGGGGCTCACCCGCCGGTGCTTCACAGCACGGCTCCTCCAGCGCAGTCCGGCTCTTTGCCATTAACCCATTCCCCCTCGCCGCTGTTCCTTCACCCGCTGGGATGGGGAAAAGGCGCTCCCACACAAACATCCCCCCCGCCCCGCTCACCGATATTGCCCTCGATGGAGATCTTCCTGAGGCGCTTCTGGAAGCTGGAGTCCAGCTCGGCGGCGGGGCCGCTGCGGCTCCTTTTGGCGGGAGTGGACATGGCGGGAGCGGCGCTGCGGCTGCGGCCCGCTTTAAGGCTCCCGCCGAGCGCTGGGCGGGCTCTGCGCTGCCTGCCCCTCCCCTTTATTTCCCGCTCTAATTTGCATCCCCCTTAACAAGTTCCCCGTGCTGGCGGCTCCGTATCGGTGTACGTGCCCCGCTCCCCGCGCGGCTACCGGATTGGGTTCTGTGGGCTCGCGGTTGGACGCGGCACGTGCCGTGTGAGGGGCTGCTGTTGGCGCCGGTAACTGTTGTCTCCGACAGAGAGGTGCAGGGCGGAACTAGCTAGGGCCAGTGTGTTTGGAGGAGATGGGAGGGGTGGATATTTTCCTTTACGTTATGATAATTGTGACCCGTGTCTCTTCTTTCCCCATCTCCTACAAACACACCAGGCTTCAGTGACCGAAGCGAGCAGATTGTTTCACGTGGTGTAGCGTCAGCCTTTGAAGCTGGTAAGTGCCGGTTCCCGCACACCCCCGCTCGGTCAGAGCTCTCCACACGCCGTGTCGGAGGGGGTCGGGTGGCGGCGGTGCGGCCCGGCGGGAGGCCGAGGGGGGGGGGGGGGGCGCGGCCCGCGGGGCATGCGCAGTGTGGAGAGCGGCGCTCAGAGGCGCGTGCGCGCAGGCCCGGCCCGCGCTCTGCGCGGGAGCGAGCGCCTTGGCTTTGTTCAGCGCAGCAGGCAGGCGACGCATGCGCACAAACCGTGGGGGAGGGGGAGAAGGGAGGCGGGAGGGGGAGCGTAGATTAGCGAGGACGCATGCGCAACTTGGCGGGAGCGGCGCGGGGAACGTCTGCGTAGGGGGTTTGTGTCCCGGGGCGGCCGAGCGTGGCGGCGCTACAGAGCATGCGCAGGCGGGGGGGGGGCCGAGAGGCTCCCCGATTGGCGGCGCGGGGCGCGTGCGCGCCGTCCCAGCCACGCCGAGGTTGCGGCGAGCGGCGCGGCCCGTTCCGGTGGCCACACGTCGGGCTCCCGCCGAGCTCCGGGCCCTGAGCCGGGAAGGAGTGCGGCAAGCGTCGGTGGGGGCTGCCGGACGTCGGGCCCGCCCGGGCGGTGCGTGGGGTCGGGGTTCTTTGTGCGGCGGAAGGCCCGGCCCAGCGGAAGCGGGAGTACCCGCCGCCATTTCCTAGCGCGCTCTCGCCACAGGCTCGCCCGCTTGCTGCCGCCTGACTGGGACTAGGCGCTCTCCGGACAGCGGATCAGGCTCGGAGCCCTAGAACCACCGCGGAGCCCCACCATGTGTGCGTGCGGGGATGGGGGCTGGGCGCGGGCAGGTGGGCGGGAGCGGCTCTGTGTGTGTGAGGCGGGCAGCGGTCCGAGGTAGAGGAGGCTTGAGGGGGAGGGCTGGGCCGGGGGTCCGCCGGGCGCTCTGAGGGGTGCGGGTGGTGGCCATGCTTTGCAGCGGCTCAAAAAGACTGCTTTGGTCTTGTGCAGCCACCACTGAGACCGAGGCGGAGCCAAACCTGACCTCCAATGTGATGCTGAACACGGAGAGCAGCGAGGGATACGTGGTGAAAGTGAGGGGGCTGCCCTGGTCCTGCTCCACGGAGGAGGTGCAGAGGTTTTTCTCTGGTAAGTGAAACAAGTCAGGCTTTAGGGGGCTGGCACTCTTTGGGGTTTCTCTAGGTGCGCTGCAGCTGGTGGGTGAAGGAAGTTCAGGGTACTTCAGTAGCCAGCAATGTTCGTGAAGCAAGAGCCCCAGCCAGGATGCAGTGTAGAAAGCCATGCTTCTCAAGCAGGAACTGAACAAATGTAGCTAAGGGAGCTGCTGGAATACCTGTAGCTCTTTTTGAGCCGCCAGGGTAGAGAATCTTCTATTTGAATGAAAATTGCTTACTGCAAGCTTAATTAAAGTAGTTTTTGATACTGTTGTAACTAGCCAACTATTTCAGGAATTTGATGCATTAGATCTGGTCCTGACTTTGTTCATTATGCTCCATTTGATTGTTACTACTTATCTCAATCTGTGCTGACTAGAAAGTCTGTCAGCTGTGATCAAAGGCATATTTAACTTGACTTGAGGCAGCAAACATCTTTCTAAAAAAAAAAATAAAGTTAATCTTTAGTCTTGAGCAGAAGAATAAGTTGATTTTAGCTAGGCCCTCAATTAAAAGAAAAAAATGCCCTATTTTAACAGGAACACTGTTATCTTACACAATTTCAGTTATTTGCTTCCTTTTGGAATATCTGAAGCTTTTAAAGCTACCACATTCTTCTAACAGCTAAATTAATGGGGCTTCTTGTTTCTGTTTTTCAGACTGCAAAATTCTGAATGGAGCTTTGGGTATTCGTTTCATCTACACAAGGGAGGGCAGACCAAGTGGAGAAGCATTTGCTGAACTTGAATCAGAAGAGGATGTGAAATTGGCACTGAAAAAAGACCGAGAAACAATGGGACACAGATATGTTGAAGGTTTGATTTGGTCTAGTAACTGACTAGATGTATTTGTTTTTGGTGGGTTTTGGTAATCTGTTCCGTCTCTAAAGTGCATGTGGAAGGACAAATGGACTTCTGTTGTATCATAAGTTGACTAGTTTCAAGGCAAATGGCTTTAAAAAGAGCTGAGCGTTCCTCAATGCATTAATTCTAAGTGCCTTTTACAGTTTTCAAGTCAAACAACGTTGAAATGGATTGGGTTCTGAAGCATACTGGTCCCAACAGCCCTGATACGGCTAATGATGGTTTTGTACGTCTTAGAGGACTCCCATTTGGCTGTAGTAAAGAAGAAATTGTACAGTTTTTTTCAGGTATGTGGGGTAAAAGTACTAGCTGTAGCAGTAATGGTTAATGCTAAAAGGAGAAACAACAACAAACAACTAACAAAACCAGCAACCAAAAAAGAAACACCCCCCAAAACAGGAAATGCACTCCTGGCTGCCCAGTAATACCTCCAGCAGCATGCTGATCTGCATTAAGAGCAAATAAGCAGTTGCCAATTAATTATCTGGACTCATGAGATAATTTCTTAAGTATTTATTTGCTAAATAACTCAGGTATCTTGCAGAAGCTGTCCTGATTCATAGGTGTGGTGCAGACTGTTCCAAGGAGGGATAGTAGGAAATGTTTTTCTGAAGCACAAATGAACGATTCAAGTGGAAAGATATTTCCTCTCTGCCTTAGCTAGTTCATGTGCTGGTTCTGGCTTCCTCTGTGAAGGTAGAGGAGGGCAGTGCATTTTGCCACTGATTTCTTAGAAAAAAATACGGATTTCCTACTGAAAAATACCCCAGGTAAAAACAAACAACGGCGAAGCCATCCAGCTGAACTGTGCTGAAGTAGAGCTTTTCCCGTGCCCGTCCCACTTCCCTTGGTGTTGAATAGCTTAGTCGTTTCTTACGGAGAGAGAATGCTTTGCTGACTCTAATTTTCACTTTCTTGCAGCTGTTGTGTATATTCTTATTTTCTTAGCGATGGGATGCTGTTGTAAATGCTAAGAATGAAATCTGTTCTCCTGTTTATGATCAAAAGTGTCAGTTTTTGCAGTAGTAACTACCTGCTGTCTAACTGTAAATGCTACACGTGGCTAGACTGTGTTATTAGCAGCCTTTAGATGACTCAACCTGTTGTCTTTCTTTTAAAGTATTCAAAATACTGCTATGAGTTCTGAAAGCTTTACTGTATTCTGAATTAGCAGTTCCAAAGTGTACATTTTAACTTTGCTATGGTTAAATTATTTAATCTTCAAAGACTGTTAAATGTGCTTAGTATCTGAAGTGTGCCTCTTGTGTTCGTTAGCTAATACTTTTGAAATTCATGATTTCTCTTAATTGAGCACTGAAACTTTGTGTGATTATTTTACTTGACTGACTTAAATAGTTCTGTGAAGTTGTTTACCTTGATGTGTTTGAATCTGTTACGTTGAAAAGTTCATCTTAAAATCAAATACTTTCACAGAGTTGAAAAGATTTGTACAGTGTAACCTTCTTAATGCACCCTGCCTCAGATGCCTTTTCTGAGGAGTTATTTTTGACGCTCAGAACTCGTCTGTGCTCTGCAGGGTGGATTAAGAACACAGAATGGTATGTGGTGATACATTTCTTCTGTTTACGTGCTTTTTCCTCTAGTGTTCTAGAATCAACATACCATTCGTTTACAAATGCTGAACTTCTGGTGTATTTAAAGCTATAAGAAAACTCATGACTGGGCTTGTGATGTTAATATTGCCCCCTACTGGGGTTATTTGTCCTTGGGTTGAAGGGTTGGAAATCGTGCCAAATGGGATAACATTGCCGGTGGACTTCCAGGGGAGGAGTACGGGGGAGGCCTTCGTGCAGTTTGCTTCACAGGAAATAGCTGAAAAGGCTCTAAAGAAACACAAGGAAAGAATAGGGCACAGGTGGGGATGGATGGTTGGTTGGATATGTCGCTTTTCTTATGGTAACCAATTAAATCCATATTCTCTCTTCTGAAAATGTTCGTGTCCAAACAAACACAGTATTTTGGTCTCTAACTTGGTCATCAGTTAAAGGCGCTGACTGACGTGCGGCGTGGCACAGGCTGTCTGCACTGACTGAAAATTGAAATTGGGCTCAGCTGCGTGCTTTGAAAACGTGGTCATTCTGAGGAGTGCAAAACCAGTAGCTTGAGAGTGGCAAAGTTGAGAGACTATGGCTTTAACTTCTCCAATAGCACCAATTATACCTCTAGCTCTAAAGTCACGCACAGTACTCTTATTACCATAAGAAAATGTGATAATTTCTAAACTTGTTTTATAAATTGAAATGTAACAAATTTTCTTACTGTATTAATCTTCCATGTGATAAGCATAGCTTTCAAGAAATTGTCACAAAGGGTTTTTATTCTATTTTACTTGTGACTATTTTTCATTGAAGCATGCACTTCTTGCCTACGCTGAATCACTGAAGCATAGGCTGGGTTCATTAGCACATGCAGAGCTTTTTGTAGCATCCTGATGGGTTAAAATCGTGGTGGAGATCAGGTTTTTAACCCTCTACTTGCATTGCCACATGAGCAAAACAGTGCTGAGTTGAGTGGACGTCCGTCCCTCCTGTATTTTCTTGACTAACACTTTAAATTTGGGGGTGGGGGTGGGGATTCAGTCTCGCTCCCCCGCCCTTAAGGGTGGGATACTGTGAGGTATGAGGAGCACATGAACCCTTCAGTAATTGTAATTTCTTGAAAAGATACTGATTTAAAAGTAACGTAGGGTTTTTTATTTTTCGTAGCATGTCATTGCCTGTATAATGTAAAGAAACCTGGCTTAAAATACGCTGCCAGTTTCAAGGCTCTGACTCAATGTCTTGCTTTATTGTGAAATTGTAAGGTCTTCTGTGGAAGGAATGAGAGACTGACTACTGCCTGTGGCAACAATTTTTAGGTACATTGAGATCTTCAAGAGCAGCCGGGCAGAGGTGCGCACTCACTACGACCCTCCACGCAAGCTGATGGCGATGCAGAGGCCAGGTCCCTACGACAGGCCTGGTCTCACCCGCGGATATAACAGTCTTGGTAGAGGAAGTGGCTTGGAGAGGATGAGGCGCGGTGCTTACGGAGGAGGTGAGTTTGTGAGGCCCAGGGCGAGCTGCAGGTCGGGAGGCAGCAACACCTGGAGCTGAGGTCTGGTTTGTATGCGGGTCTGGCTTTATTTCTTCGGGAAGAAACAGAACTTCTGGTCGCGTTGTGTGCGGCGTGTTTGTGTGCATTGGACATTCCTGCAGTTGAAATGATCATGTTGTCCTATCTACTTGCAGGTTATGGAGGTTATGATGACTACAATGGGTATAACGATGGCTATGGTTTTGGTTCTGATAGATTTGGGAGAGGTAAGCTATCTCTAATAGGAATTGTAACTAACCTTCAATACATATAGAACAGAAACTTAAATACATCTGAAAGACCTAGAATGGACTCTCTTCTCTGCAGGAATGTCGGACCACAGATACGGCGACGGGACGTCCACCTTCCAGAGCACGACTGGCCACTGTGTCCACATGAGAGGTCTGCCCTACAGAGCGACGGAGAACGACATCTACAACGTGAGTTCACACCTGCTGCTCCCTGAAGCCCTGGGGTGCCGCAGTTGTTGGTGAGGGTGGTAACCGTGCTGCTGCTCAGCAAGTGTTCCTGCACAGAGAACGACTTGCTGTGAAACCAAACTGCTATATTGGTGCATTTTAATCTCTTTGTGTTTTGTATATAGTTCTTCTCACCTCTGAACCCTGTACGAGTACACATTGAAATCGGACCAGATGGCAGAGTGACTGGAGAGGCAGATGTTGAATTTGCTACTCACGAGGATGCGGTGGCCGCCATGTCCAAAGACAAAGCAAACATGCGTAAGTGTGACTGTTGCAATACGCAGCTCTGTGCCGTGCCCCCTGGAAGTGGGATGCCAAGCATTCTGCAGCCTTTCTTGCGGTGGGACTGTGAATTTGGTGTCAAGCACTCTCTTTTCTTTCAGAACACAGATATGTAGAGCTCTTCTTGAACTCAACAGCAGGAGGAACTGGTGGTGCCTATGGCAGCCAGATGATGGGAGCAATGGGTATGTGCGAACAGTCTGACTGTCCTCGTTACATGAAACTTAATGTTTAATGATACTAATAAAGCTGGCTAATCTTGCTCAGCTTCTGCTTATTCTGAAATACAGCATTTTATCTTAATCACACAGTCAAGGAGTCTGAAGGAGTGGTTCAGGATTGGAACACAAGCACATTGGCAGGTATGCAAGTCTTCAGAGTATTCCCATTTTCTGGTTTCTTAGAAACCTTAAAGTGGAGCACCTTAAAATGGGGGGTGGTGTTTTGGGATTTCTTTGAGGGGGGGAGCTGGGTATCTGTGTGGGTATAGTAGTATTTTAATCACGGAATGTCTAGAAAGTAATGCTGGTGTTTTATCTATGGAAAGGTTCTGTAAGAGTACATGTAGACAAGAAGTAGATGAAGAACAGTGGTTAGAAAGCTTAAAGAGCTCCTGTCAGGACTGTAGACAAAAACAACTCCAGGTGCTGAGTTAGTGTCCCGCACAGGGCAGGTGTTACAGCAGGCTGTGATGTGCTCCAGATAACAGATCTGTCCCACAGTGTGGAGCGGGATTATGGGAGTTACGCAGCAGAAGCTGCAAGAGTAAAACCCTCTTGTGCTTGAAAACGAGTGCTTGCCATACTTCTTAGAAGCTTCTGTTGCCGCTTGGTTATAGGAATATTTTTTTCAAACTCAGCTATTTGTTTGGAACTGGTTACGTTATCTATTTAGGAGGTTACCTAGGCTAAAGAGTGAGCTATTTCCTGAGCATGTGGGACTGTTGATGATGGGCTGGTTTGTAACGTTTGTATCCTTCTCTTGAAAGGAAGCCAATCCAGCTACGGTGGCCCAGCTAACCAGCAGCTGAGCGGGGGCTACGGAGGAGGATATGGCGGCCAGAGCAGCATGAGTGGATACGGTAAGGCTCTGTTTGCTGCCTCTGTGGGGCTGCAGGCAGCTCCAGCGGGAGGTCCTGCTTGTTGGTGTTGAAGGGCAGCTGTATGGAGTGGGCTGCGATCCCCAGAGTGAATTGAGAACAAGAGGGAGATAAATTGAAAGCGGGAATCTGTTGCCAGGGAGAAGCTTGCTAAATCGTTATTCTGAAGTGGATCAGGAATGCCAGTCTCCAGACTTCCTAACTGGCACTGTGGTACTGGAGACGCCCTGGTGTAAATGCAGCAGAATGAATTGGTGGGGAGGAAATGGGGTACTGTGCACAGGAGAGTAATAGAAAATGCTGAGGCTCTTGGAAGGGGGGGGGAGGTGTTGGCTCACAGCAAAGCGGTCCAGTTTTGGATAGGGAGCTTTAAGCTGCAGCTCTCAGCACGGGGCGGAGGAGTTGCTGTGTGTGGTGCGGAGCTCGAGAGCTGATGGCTGCAGCTGCTGCGTGGGGTGGTGCCGTGCTGCGTGGGGTGGTGCCGTGCTGTGTGGGGTGGTGACAGTGCTATTTGGTTTCCACCCAGACCCGAGCAGTCAGGGCGCCATGAACAGCAGCTACTACAGCAGTGGGAACCGCGCGTCCATGGGAGTGAACGGCATGGGCGGGATGTCCAACATGTCCAACATGAGCGGCGGCTGGGGAATGTAACCAACGGCTGACTTTTGGTCAAATCTTTTTTTAAAAAACAAAAAAACAAAAAACTAAGTTTAACAGTTTTGCAATACGAGCTTGTGATTTATGCTTTACTGTAAGTGAAATCAGGATTGTTATTTTAAACCTTTCGGGTTCAGTATTTTTGAACATACAGAATGAACTTTCATCTAGGATGTAATAACCCAGCTGAGCAGAGATGATAACTGTTAAACAACTCAGAGCGTTTCTCAAGTTAGTTTTGTTGTAGGAGTGTATTTAAGCAGTAAGCGTATTTAGGTTAAAGCTGTTTGAATTATGTTAAATGTTGCTCTTATACCATATTACATCTGACACTGTTTTGAATACATGTTGAAAAAAACATGCTTTTTTGTAAAGAAACAATATAGGAGCTGTGTCTGAAATTCCAAGTGAACATTTGGCATGTTAGTTCTAGTTTATTTCTTTTAATACCCTGTAAGGCACGTTAAAGCTTTTTTTTTAAGTTAATGGGGGAAACGTGTTGAGACGCAATACGGCTACTTTAGGATTTCGGTCTTGGTGTTCGTATACAATTCTGAGGCCTTGATTTAATCTTTCATTGTATTGTGATTTCCTTTTTAGGTGTATTGCGCTAAGTGAAACTTGTTAAATAAATCTTCCTTTTAAAAACTGGAACTCATTTCTTCTTGAACTTCTGCCTCTATCTGTACCACAGAAGTTGAGATGCTGCTTTGTAGTCAATAATTGTGCTACTCCGTGTCTGCTGTGAGTTACTGTGCCTGGCTGGAGGAATGCAGAAGCTGTGGGGCCTTGTGGGGTGTAAAAGTGACGACTGTTTCCCAGCCACAAGCAGTTAGTGAAGGAAGGTGCGTCCTGTTGGGGTGGGGGCTACAAACTGCAGGAGTTCAGAACGCCACGGTGCCTGATGTTGGCTGCCTAACGTGGTTGTGAAGTTGCAAAGAGGGCTGGGGGTAACTGTGTACGTAGCTACAGGCGTCGATGCTGGATCAATGGACTTTGCAGCTTAGTGCAGCTGTGTTTCAATAAATTCAATTTGTCAAACTCCATGCTCACAGATGTGGTTTTATAAACAGTTTAAGCTTAGTGACAGCTGAAGCTTCCTCTGAAGCGGTAGGGCAGCTGTTTCCATGCATCTACCATGGAGAATTCGTCCCTTTCTAACTAAACTTCTAACCTGTGGTTGAAGGGGAACGGCTGTGGGGTGTCTTTCTTCAGTGGTAGAAATCCAGCAATAGATTTGAAAAGATTAAAGCCAGTTTTATCTCTGCCCTATAGAAAACGCTTTCCACTGCTACCAGGCTGCTGCCAGTGCCGGCCTGCAGTAATGGATCTCCAGTTGTGATTGGTGCAGCGCTGTGTGCTCAGACCTCAGCAGTGAGCACAAGTGCTCTGAGCAGAGCGCAGGCAGTAACAGCCCAGCTGGTGAGGCAGCTCACCTGAAGGGCTGCCCTGCTCCCAGCCATGCTCACTGCCTGCAGTATTCAGTAGTAGTGAAATCTGTTTCAGTCTGTATTTCTAAGCCTTAGCCCTGCACCACGCTGTAACAAGGCTCGCTTCCAGGCTATGGGACTGACGGAGCATTAGAAAAAGTCAGAACTGAATCTTTTTGCAAAAGACTTTATTGTGCAGCTACCACACTGTGCTCACAGCTACTTTCAGAACAAGTGTTAAGGTGTAGTTTTTTTACTCTGAATACAGAAGGCACATTCATGGACACTCATAAAGCTCTTTCCATAGACAATTGGTAAGTGAACATTCCTTTTCTTAGCCCATACACAACTGTACGTTAGCCAGTGTCACAGGAATGCCTACAGTGAGGGTACAGAGGAACTGAAGTTAATGTACAGAAAAAGTAACTTCTAGAGGGACTGAGTAACTAGAAATCCCATATACAAATATTAATACAAACATCTCCTGTATAAAAAAATCAGAAAATGGATTTGCATTTTAGTCTCAAATAGAACTTGAATGGAACTCAGGTAATACAATTTTAGTTATCCCACTTGCATTACCCCTACCATTCTTGCACACTGACCTGTCCTAACGATGGAAAATAGAGCAGACGCTGCTGCAAAGGTGCCTGGAATTCAGAATCGATGGCTACTTGTCCAGCGCTGAGTCGGTCCCTCTGAGGTTACCAGAGGCTTAGGAGGAATTAGATGAACACCGCTGAAGTAGCAAGGTGTGACAAGTGTCACAGACACGGACAGGTTTAGGATACGAGGGCAGCGCCAGTTCGTTGCTGGAGCAGGTGTTGCAGAAGATGTCCCCACAGTTTCTGCAGTGATGCTACAAGCAGAGAACTGCAGTAAGAACAGCTGCCTACAGAGGAAGCGTACTGAGGAGGTACGACAAAAGCCTTGAGTCCACTAATCTCATCCTCAAGTCCCAGAATCCCACCCTGCACAGCACCGTCTCCTATGCAGAGAACTCACACAAAGCAGCTTAACTTCCCCAGCTGCTCTGAGCTGCCCTCAGCCCCGGGAGCTGCCTGCTGCCCCTCAGCTGTGTTCTGGCACACCTGGCTGCATCAGCACGCAGGTGGGCCCTGCCCCGTTGCCTGCAGGCACACAGAGCTGTCCCCAGCTGTGCAGCAGGTCCCCGTCCCCTGCAACTGGAAGGCACCACCAAGCTCGGCCTGTCAGCATCCAGCCCTCCTCACTCCTGAACTCAGCAGGAAATGAGGACAAATCACAGCACAGGAGAACACAACCCACAACAGCCTCCTGCCAAGGAAAGTGCCCAAGCAGAGACGTACTGTTCTTAGAGCGGGAAACACCAAACTACTGCTCTATTTAGTTCTCACACCCACAAGTCCTTAGACTGAGGCAGTCAGCAAACGATACAAAGCACTTTTCTTTCCTGAGAGAAAAAGGAGAAATCCAGTGAACAATGGTACCTTTCTTCTTGAGATAGAGAATTCCTTCTCGCACTGCTTGCAGTGTGTTGCTTCATCATCTTTCAGCCAGGTGTGACCCTAAGAAATTGGAACAAAACGCTCACGTTGCAGATAAGTACATTCATAAGGCTCAGAAGCAATTTATCCACACTGTTTGTAATTCTTTTTCCAAAAGCCATCTTTTTAAAATAGGATAAAATAAATGAAGAGTTAACGGCGGGGAACTTTGAAGGTGTTAAGTGAAATGCACATATATGCCAAAATATCCACAAAATAAGAGAGTACCTTTAGTGCTTTGTTTACTTCTTTGATGTCTTCCATCTTCAACTTAGATCTGGGGGAAGAAAAGAAGAAATGATTCCCTCTGCACAGCATTGTTTTACCTGCCCTTCCCCTGTCCAGCCACTGAATCTATTCTTCAGTCAGCTCACCGTTACCATTCTGAGCCACTCTGTATCACCAGGAAACGTTGCCACCTCAGGGTACGCCCTGCTTTTGGTATATTCAGAAGCAACGTGGAAAAAGCAGAGTTCCACATTATGAACTAAGCCTTTACTGCATTGTTTCTTATCCCTGCCAGTTCACTCACACAAGGACGGCCGTTTTGCTTCGCCATGTGCAGTAACTGCCTCCTCAAATTCTCACATCTACCTGTTCTACAAATGGACTCAAACTTCTTTGTACTTAATTTGAAACCCCACCCTCCAAGTCACGCCACCCCCAGTTCAACTCCTATCACTCACTGGCTGAGATGAAGCCCCATCTCTTGCAGAGCTTGCTCCTGCTCCTCACAGACTTTCTCCAGCTGCTGCTTCTCATCTTGCAATTTTCTCAGCTCCTGTAAAATCAAACTCAAAAATCAAGTTCGTGTGCTAAGCGTGATCTGAGACACAGTCTATCCGAAACACCAAAGCAAATCACAAGCATAAACTTCTTTACAAAGCTGCCTATTTCTAAGGGTTCATTTCTAGTGTTAGATGGGGGAACTACCCATGGATGCTTGCAGGGTGAGAACAATGAAGTCATTTAACCATATTTACCAGAAAAAAAGGAACAGTTTCAGGCTTTAATCATCCCTGAGCACAGCCAGAATGCAGCAGTGCTATGCCCACAAACGTGTTAAGAAAAGCCCATCTAACTCATTTATTCTCTGTGCTTGAAGATACATTTCAAGCCAGCTTTAGTTCTGAACACAGCATGCCTGCACCATGTATACCTTTTTCAGTCCTTCCATTTGTTCCAATTCTGTTCTAAGCAGAGAGGTGGCATCCTTCTCTTGGTGTAGTTCTCTTTGCAAAGTTTGTCTCTGCTCCTTTTCAGATTTTAATTCCTTTTCCAGAGTTGAGCTATTTAAAAAAATGATTGATTCAGAGGAACTCTACAGCAGAAAAACATCCTATGGCATTTAAGGCCATCAGCAATATGAGAAGAAAACTTGTCCTAAAGAGGACAAAACCTACATCAGTATTCTGCCAAAGAAACAACAGAGATATTACAGCAGCAGACAAAAAAAAAACCCCATAGTAGTACTTAGAGAGTACAGAAAACAAGCAGTGAAACTGGTGAATAGCCAGAAGGAAGAAAAAAAGCAACCACACCATCTCCACAAAAATGCATTGACTACTTGTGTTCCAACGACGCCCTGCCCTGATGTGCAGGCAGTGAACGAAACATTGCGTTACAAACCTGGGAGGACAAGAGCACCAACCCCAGTCTGCCTTCAGGAAATCCCAATTGCTGTGGCTGACAGTCACTGATGCACCAAGCCTACAGGATGAGCACTGAAGGCACTTCTTAAACAAATAGAAATGAAGGAAAATAAAAAAAGGAAAACTGATGAAATAGCACTGAAATACCATTTGCTATCCAGCTGGGACATTTGCTGCCGACAAGTGTCAAGTCTGCTGGCAAGCTCTTGCTTCATCTTGTTGCATCTTTCCTCTGCAGCTTGCCTTGCCTTTTCTGCATGCTGCAATCTGCAAAGTAAGGAACACATTTGCTGACATCTCACATTTTCCTCATCTATTCACTGGCATTTTGTTCTTTCACATTTTTTTGCATAGATCTTTACAGAAAGTAGAACTGAAGGTACTGGTGGAGAAGCAGGAGTTCTAGAAGGCTGTTTCTGCTGAACTCCCAGGTCATACCTGCTTTTCAACCCACGCCAACACAGTTTTTAAACAGTCTGCCTACAGCACAGATCTTTTTCAGACGAGTCAGTGCTGTGCATTTCTGCTTGGGCAAAGGGAACAGATAAGCGTGGAGCGTGGTAATAGGGAGAAAAAGAGCAGAATGCTGGCATGCACCCCACGTATCTATAGGAGACACTTGTGAGCGTTATACTGAGAAATAGAAAGCCATTCTATAATAACCTCAGTCAGGTCTATAACAACCTTCTACCGACCAATGGTATTGAGCTTCTAATTATTACCTCTCTTCCATTTGTTTCATAGAAGACATCATCTCATTCGTTTTTCCTTCAAAAGAAGATATTACTTCTGTTTTCTGTTGTAAAGAACACTCTGCATTCTGCAGGAATAAAGCAGTCGGGGATTGCAGACAATACATTGTAGTTTTCTGAAGGTCACTCAGTCAGCAGATAAAGCCTGTGCAGTTTGTGACAAACCGTGCCAGGTCTAAGAGCAGCGCGCCAACAGACGCTGATAGTGGCAGAGCAGACACTGCTCAGCTGCTCTGTTAAGAGCTCAGAACAAAAAAACTTGATTCCAATAACATTTAAACTTAAGAGATCAGCTACAGGCCAAGTCTTCTCTTAAAGAGTCTGAAGAAGGAAATTGTCACATTATATTTGTTACTTTTGCAATCTGAATGCAAAAACTGCACTTGAAGGACATTGTTTCACAGGGAAGTAAAAAAACCAACACACAAACTTGGCTTTCTATTGGTTTAGCGAAGCTTGCTGGTTTTTTGGTAAGCAGTGTGAAATGCAGTGCAACTGAGAGGCAAATGACACAAAGGGAAGCAGCAGCAGGGCAGTTCTGGCTGCAGGAAGCAACTGTGTTTTTAAAGACTGCTCCTTCAGCTGTCAGAACAGACACCTCCAAGCCACCTTCCCTCCCTGCCAGAGCTGCTTCTCCACAACTCGCTCAGTGCCTCCTGGATGATCCCAAGCACAGTGCTCAGCATCTCAGGGAAAGTCCTTTCCAAAACCACCCAATCTCGTATTAATAACAAAACTCAGCTAAAAAAGGAACCAAACAACTTTTAAAACAGATACTCCTAAGAAAACAGATGCACCCATTTCTGCAGATACACACACGTGCGTTACCATCACATCAAGGCCATCACTGCAGCTGCTCTGTCCTCTGCTCTGCACATACCTGAGATTTGTGAAACATCTGCAAGTTAATTGCTTTCACTTCCTCTAACTGTTGGCGAAGTGCAACCAAGGTATCTTGTTTTTCATGAGTATCTTTTTCCAGAAGTTTCATGGCTATTTCCATTTCTGTTTTCATTCCAATCTGTAGCTCCAACTCCTTCTCTAGTTCCTTACAAAGGAGATTTCTTAATTACTGCCAGGTAATCACACCGGGGACAAGTATTTCCAAAGCCCACATCAAGCCAGACAGAAATTCTGCATTACTCTCTCAGGTACAGACCTACAGTTCTACAGAAAAGTTAGTCTCAAATAATACAGTGAGTCAGTAAGGGCAAAAAACTATTTTGGCTCTCCAGGTCGTGGCAGCAGATCTGAGCTCTTGCCCTAAAATGTAGAGCATGGTGTGCATCTCAGCTGTGCAATTTCCTGCAGGCTGGAGATGGTCTGAACACAAACCACAAGCTTCAATGAGCCTGGCACTCATTTCACCAGTCACTGCTTCGCAGGTAACTGTGAACGTGGCTGCTGGCATCCCACAGCAACAACTGCCTTTCTGTGCTCTTAGCTCAAGTCTCTGCTCAAATAATCCTGGTACACTGTTAAATAGGCCCAGATCTGCAGTTCTCTTCTGACACTGTAGATGACCTATGAGCAGCACCTTCTTTCCAAATCCATCACGAATTCTGAATAGTTTAGAGAAATGCACACCATGCACCACGTGCTCATAATCCTAGCTCACAGCAGGCAGTCCTGTACCTACAGAGAGTGAAACGAAAGGTAAGCTTCCTCACCAGCCTCATTTTCTTTTCTTCTTTCAACTGCTTCCAGACATCGCTGTACATCTCATCCAGACCCTGCCGGGACTGCCGGTAAGTATCCAGTTCTACTTTTGTATCCTCTTTTGTCACCTAGAGGAAACAATTGCAAAGACCACAAAATCACAACGCTACAATTCGGCTGTAACTGAGAAATACTGTTTCACTGAAGGATTTGTGTGCGATTTCAAGCAAAATCCTATTGTTTCACAATGGAAAAAGTAGCAGACATAAAGTCATTTACAGAAGTGCGTTAAGCTGTGCTCCATTGCATTCCAGTTCAAAGCTGTTTCAAGAGCTCTAACTGTAGCTGAACAAGAGAACTGGCTTATTTTAAGGACCCCACCTTCAAGTCATGCTCCTACCTCAACACTTTTTTCACTTCGTTCCCGAATTAATTCGTTTTGTTGCTTTAAGTGCTGCTGCTCTTCCTGCAGTGAGCCAATTCGGTCAGTTGCTGCTGCAAGCTGTGAAAAAAACATGTCTGTATTTTATCACTGCACGAACATGAAACACCAGAAGAAATCCTGAAGTCTGGAGCTCATTTTTCTCTTGGCCCTTTCATTCTTCCCAGAAGCTGCCAGGCCATTTTGCAGCTATAGTCACCCTACAGCCTCAACAAGGCCACAACATTTATTAGTGTGCCCCCTGCTCGATGCCCTCATCACTTATTTTTGAGTCACAGCACAAAAAGCCAAACACAACCCCAGGTCTTTATGTGCAGTGTTCTTCCTGGTACCCAAAACAAGGCACAAGGCAGCCATGGAGCTGCTGGAACATTATGGCAGTTTCAAGTGGAGATTCCCCAAAAGGCACTGGATGCTGAATTATAGCAGTTCAGACTGTAGGCATGTAGTGCATGTAATATGAACAATAAAACAACCATTACCTGAAAACAAACAAAACAAATACCAACCAAGCAAAAAAATCCCCTCAGCCTTTGTCACATGTACTGATGGCTTTTACTGTGGTTCCCAACTAGGAAAGATTCCCAAAGTGAACTTTATTCTTTTATTTTTACCCGATTTCCATTCTAACTCACACGAGAGATATATATAAAGGTGTGTGAGCAGAGCAAGACAAATCGTGTTCTTTAGTGATATGATTAATTTTGGATGGAGACATCACTGACCTTGATTAAGGAAATCACTCATACTTCACTATTATCAACTCAGTCCAAGTGTGTGGTGAATTCTTTGGGTGTTTTGTCTCTGACAGAAGAAAGCTAAGAAACACTTAATAGCCAGACACAAACCTCTTCCTGCAGCTTTGAGTTGGTCTTTTCTAAGCAGTCTATTTTGTTCTGAAGATCTGTGACTGTGCAACTGCATTGAGAAAAAAATAATGCATGAAAACAATACAAGCTCCAATGTTCAACGTTTATTCCTGTTGACAACCATACTTCCATCATCTGGTATTTGCTAACAATGACTTTTGTTCATTATGACAGCTGTTTTGGGTTAGCTTTTAGTCTTAACACCTCTGCGATACTGCAGAGGTTGAATGAAGCCAGCTACCAGCACTGAGCAGCTACATAAGAACACATCTCCATCTAAAGGGTGGACTTTGAGATGTTTGTTCAAGGGAAAACTGTCACAAATCCATCTGCAAAATCCTCTGTTGACCACTAGCAAGTTTTGGAACAGTCAACTATTACTACAGAACTTGTTTTCTGCTAGCATCTGCCATAAGAAGACTAAGGTTGCAACATGAAACTAAGTTTTCGGCAGAGAATCAAAAAAGACAGTTCATAATCAGACAAAAGTCTGCAAGAATGACAGCAAAGACATTTAAAGCTGTAAGGGAAAGTGACTGGTTGTGCCTCAGAACAGCAGAAAGTCCTACCTTAGGTGCCGGTTCAGCTCTTCCACGTAATGCTTCTGGTCAAGGACAGCAGTAATGCCTCCATCTCTAATTGTAAAGCAAGAATGTATCGATTGAGAAGAAACTTCTCTCCATTTGAAAGTGTTAATTTGTACAGAGGTTGTCAGCATGCACTTGCAAATCTTTTTTTGTGATAGAAATGTGTTTGAGCAAGGTCAGGAAGCAGTAACATCATCACTTAACACTTCCAGTAAAAATACTTCTGTTCTCCATAACTGGTATCTCCCACAGAAAAAGCTCCTTCACTGAGCATCTCACTGAGCTGGTGCTCAGAAATCAAGCAGTGACTTAGCAGAGGCTAAGTTCACATTTTGAGTGTCATTAGTTTGGTGCTGGCTCGGGACAGACTCTCCTCACCACATTGTTTAAGTTGCCACGGGATCAACTATTGTTGTACTTCTGTTTAGCTAGTAAATCTATTTAGGATTCTCTTTTTTCAGTTAATAAGAGAGCTTGATATCTCTAGCACTGATGTGCTCCTACAGACTGACAGATGGGCTTGTCCTTAAAAAATAACAAAACACAAAACCCAAACAATTTAGAATCACTAATCCACCATACATACTGTTTGCCATCACTGTCTTGTGTTTCCTTAAGGTACAGAGAAAAATCAATCACTCCAACCTGAAAAACATTATTTAAGAGATTACCATGCTTTCACAACACAATTCTGAGTAGCAGAAGGCATTTCTTTGTATTTGGAAAAAAAAGTAAAAATCTAAATGTTCGGATTTGGGAAGACAGATAATGCCTATGTCCTTCACAACCAAAGCAAACCTCCAGGCCAGTCTGTCAGCATCAAAACCACCACATTGGGTGCACTCAGTTTCCCTGAAGTTACTGTTTTTGACAGCATTTCCATAAGCTGCTACTGAAGGAGATGGATACTTTCATACTTGTCAGTATGGAAACATGACCAGCTTCTATGTGGGACATTCCTGCCACTCTCCCTCCCCCCAGCCTAAGGAAAAGCTCCACTCACCCTCAAAACAAAAGACCCCACAAGGCCTTAGCAGACTGACTGCAACGTGTCCCATGTGTTTAGCTCACTTCATCTAAAGTTTGGTTTCTTATGCAAGGAATTCAAACGTCCACTTACAAAAGCAGTGACAATCCCTATCTACATAACAGATTTAGGAATTCTAGGCTCATCTCTGTGAAGTATTTATCAGAGTGCTTAATTCAACTCAATTATTTTAAGGACTGATCATATTTAAACAATCTTCACCTGAGAATCCAAGTCTTCTCCTTTCAAGCAAAGGTTGGCATCAATGACATTCAGTCCAACTAAGAGACCCACAATGACTGCTCCCTCCTCCTCCATCATCAGTGCATCAGGTTCATAAAATTCACTAGAAGAAATAAGATAAGGCATCACTGAACATCATAATTACAATGGTACCTCTATCACTAAAATGACATAAGCAGTAATGTTGTGCTTTTAAAGCTCAGCTGACCAGCCTCCCCCTGCTAAGGTAGTGCACGAGGCAGAAGATGCAAAACAGAAAATTCTCCTGACCCTAAGTTCACTGCAAGAACAATGAACAACTTATTGCCTTGCAGAATGCAAGAACAACCCAAAGTTAAATGGGACAATTAATGACTTTTTTCTACAGCTATGCAAGGATTCAGTGAATGCAAGGTATTGGTGTTGTTACCTCAATAGATGTTTATGGTCCAAAAGCACTTTAAGATAATCCGCCAGTTTCTTTTGCATGAGTGCCAGATAAAGCCAAGCCCTTCCTCTTCCTACAGCAGTCCTAAAATGAAACATTAAGGTTATGGTAAAGCAAAAACGTTTAAGTAGAGCTGTGCAATTGAAAATTCTCTCTTTACAAAGGGAGAAGAAGGCACTTATTTATTAAATTAATTAAATCTCAAAGGAAATAGTTTTGTGGCCAGAGCAAGAGAAGGATTTGATTACATTCTGTTGTTTCAGTGTCAGGAAAGTGTACTGTAACATCTTTCTGAATCAGAAAGCCCTACATATCTTCAGCTGACACCAGAACCCAACCGTTCATACATTCTGGGAATAAAACTAGTCTCTTCATTATCCTGAGGCCTCAAACGAAATGTACATGCACACGAAGTTAGACAAAGCCATAAAAGTGATGGGAACAAGGGGAAAGAACCACCTGTGAAGATCCTACAGTCATTTGCAGCACGCTTACAGAAATTTTGCAATGCTGTTTTTGAGTGCACTATTTGAAACAGAAGAGCGGAATATTTTGAGACAGCCTCCTTATCTCTGGGAGCACTCAACGCCTCCTACATACCCTGTTTGTCTCTTTGGAACGAGATCTCATTAATGAAGCTAAGGAACCACCCGAAGGATTGCATTTCCCAGCAGAGTGAGCGAAACACGTAATTCCCAACAAGGAACTTACTTCAGCTCTGGCAGATTTTTGACACTAGTCGCTATATCTGATGCTTCAGGACAAAGCTTTTCCACCAGCTCCAAAGGACCAAAGAACGATTTGTTCTGTCCAATAAAGGTCTTCTTCGCTACAGGGAGCACACAGAGAAGTTCGTGATGAGAACCGACAGCCTCCCAGCCGCCATTCCACAACCACACACCTGCATCTCTCACAAGCGGACAGCTGAGAGGACAAACAGCCACAGGGCGCTCGGACAGCCGGCAGAGCACCACACAGCCCACAGCAGACACGGCCGGGCACAGCGCAACCAGTGTCACTGCGGGCCTCCCCTCAGCGCACGGCCGCACAAGCCCACCTTTCAGGCCGTGCTTCAGGCAGTGCTCCAGCACCACGAAGAACTGCTGCAGAGGAGGGAAGTCGGAGTCCAGGGTGCGGCCCAGGCTCAGGGCCGACTGGATCAGGGTTTTGATGCTCAGCTTCATCATGTTCATGAGGTTGGCGCGCTCCTCCATGGCGTGGTGCCTCGCGGCTGTGCGGCGGGGAGGGGCAAAAACAGAAAAGCCGGTTTAAGAAACGCGCTCCCGCCGCCCCCCGCAGCGCGGCGCCCCCCGCCGCCCGGCCCCAACTGGGGGCGCTTCAGACCAGGCCCCTGTGCTCCCGAGTTACCACGGCAACAGCAGCCCCCAACAATCCTGAACTCTCGCGAGATTGAGCGTGGCCCGCGCGCGCCGGGCGCCATTTTAGAAATAGTTCGTTCTGCGAGCAGGGTGTCCCGCGCGCGCACAGCGCCGCCTCTGAGGGGCGGGAGGCGCTCCTCACCTTGACCTGAGCGCGGTAACCTGAACGCGGGGCGAGGCAGAAAACAAGCAAAACCCATCGCCAACAAAAACAAATCCACAGCAACCAACCAAAACCCCGAGACGGTGAGCTACCGCTTCAGTCAGCGCAGGCCCACGGCCGACTACGTTTGCTTCGGGCCGAGCGCGCTGCGCTAAGAAGCCTGCCGCCTCTGTGCTGTGGGGGCGGCCTGGTCGCCTGCGGGAATGCGAGTTACGACGAGTGAGTCTAAAAGGTACAACCCCGTCAGTCACGTGGAAGAGGGTGAGGGCTGTTAGCAACACCGCACAGAAGTCCGTTTGAGTAGTAGTTCTCATCATGATGTTCTCGTGCACAGAATAGTAATGTAGAGTTAAAATCGAGTGTAACTTTTCCCTATGAGAAGAGTGTAAGCAAAGTTATCCTAACCAAATTATTTCAGCAAATCACAGCACATGAAGTCCTGTCCTCCCAGCAGCCTAGCTCTGCCATATCAGTACCAAAGTTGCTCATAATGCCTGAGACTGAGGATTATGAGGGCTGTAGCATTTTGGATTTTAATGTCAGGTTGGACATTAAGGACAGAGAAAAAAGCCTGACTAGACATAAGAAATCTGTGGCTTTGTTTAGATATTGAGGTGTTCAGTAGCAACTGAATATATATTGTTATGCTGTTTTCTGATCTTGAACTTTCACTTATCAGGGATATTTTGCTTGTAAGCCTTTCTGAAGAGATGCATATATATATATATATATATATATATATAAATACAAAAAAAATATATATAAATATATATAAAACACTATATATATAAAACACTGTAACACTATATATATTATCCAGAAGACTTAAAAAATGAATACTGTGAATGAAGTGTTCTTTATGAACACAAATTTCAACTAAACAGCACTGTTGATGATTTGTATTCGGTTTAAGTAACAAACAATTGCTTAGTCTGTTGGAAATCTAGTCACACACACCTTTAGCAAAACTATGTACCAGTTGGTACATGCAGAGTAGCCAGGTGTTAGCAAATTATCCAAGTCCACCCTCAAAGCTCACAAACTGAATTACGTAAGTGCAAAAGATCCCAGATATGCAATCTTTAAAAACATGTTATTGTAGTGTCTGACTCAGTTCGGCTGATTTTAACATCACTTTGAAGCTCCATGCTTTGTTTACCATACACTGTTCTACACACAGTAGGAGAATAGCATAAAGAAAAGGTGACAGTTCTCCATCTTTTGGTCTTTAAGACAGTCTTTCTTGATTTGCATTCTTTACATTTGCATCTCCTGCCTTCCCAGCCAGGCAGAACAGTTTCTTCAGTGACAGAAAATGGGTTTATGATGTGCCTTTCCCTCCTTTGTCCAGCTGACCACACAGCGTGTAGCAGAATCTACACGTGATCACCAGATCTGAAGTAGGGGGAAGTTAAATAAAATCCGTACGAAAAGATGGCAGCAGGGAACAACTTGTTACTTTTCCACAAATACACTTGCAGGCCACAAGTTATTTCTAAAAAACACCTCATTTAAATCAAATGATGCTTGGTCAAAGTTAACAGGGAAGTGCTTTATACAGGAGGGTAGAACAGGTATGAAATGTGAACAGACACTGGATCACCCCAGTTGAGAAGTTTGGTGTGAGTTCTGTGGATGCAGAAAGAGATAAGAATGGAGGCTGCTTTCTGGACAGGAAATCTTGACCTCTGACTATGCATCACTGAGGAATTTTCACACAAAAAATATTCTATCAGCCTTATTCCACCATGCAGTTACGATTCATCCTCAGGAATGCAGCTTGAATACGTAATATTCAAAACAAAAAGATTATAACCAGCCAGCATAACTGAGCTCTGCTGCCCAGAGCCATCAGACACCAGCTTGGGAGCTTGCAGCCCAATGTGCTCATGTACTACTGCATTTGAATGGGTTTGTTTCCTGTATTGTAAATATTACTGAGATTTAATTTCCATAAAGATCCCACTTAATTCAGTCTTAAGAGAGCTCTTCCATAAATCCCATGCTACTACACCTATCAACGCAATGCTTAATAAAGCAAGCTGTGATTAAATGAGATGTTTTTCAGCACAGTTAGCAATTAGTTTGTAAGCAACTCGTTCCTTAGTCCAGCTGCCTGCTGTCTGACGTGTGAGCCGTGCAGGAAGCAGCGTCATTCCCTCCCAGGAAGGCACCCCGCCAGCAGGCTGCTGCTCAGCACAACTTCAGGCAGAAAGGGAATCAAGAAAAGCCACCTGAACCACAAATACAAGTGAATCTAAGGATGCTGACAAGAGCTGCAAGAGCTTAGGGCTCTTCTGGTTATAGTTTGTTGACTTCTCCTGTGCTGCCTGCGTGCTCTTGCTTAAAGAAACAAGCACAGCATTACATTAAAAACAAAACAAAACACCCTAAATTCAAAGTAATAATAAAGCATCACACTACTTAACGCCACTTACGGGAACTAAACTTATTTGTGCCGCATAAAAAGCAAGTTTACTAAATAGACATAGCCATACTTGTTTTTGCTGTGCTGTCATTGCTGACTGCTTTGGATATGAGTCCTACCGAAGCCGCAGACTTCAGAGCGCTGCCATAGCTCAGCGCCAGGTTTTCGGAGGCTTTCTTTGCCAGCGATAAGATGGGAGCGGACCACTTCGCTTCCTCCTTTTCTTTTTCCACGTTTTTCAGCTCGGCTGTGTCAGGCACCTGCGTTTTGTCAATGATCTCAAAGTCTTCCTTCATCCCCGCGGCAGCGCACGGCTCCCCGGCAGCCATCTTCCCTCCATCACATGACTGCGCTCCGGCAGCGCTCGGCCCGCCTCGTCCCGCATCTCGGGGCCGTGCCGCGGGGCCGCCCTGCCAGCGCAGGCCGGGCTCGAACCGCCTCCAGAGCTGCCGGCAGCCCGCTGGTAGCGCCCAGCTGAAAGCTTTAGGAGAGAGGGGATGGGCGGCGAAACCTGAGCGGAGTTCTCTTTTGAAGCGAGTTTGAAAATAAGAAAAAAACCCGCACGTTATGTTTTCTTTCCTTGCATTCTGTGTTTCCAAATGTTACTTTCATATACATATAAATATATTTAGTATCTTTCAAAATGCCAGATTTTTCTGGTATTTTGTATGCTGAAACAGATCTTTATTACTTTTATTGATATAGTTATACACCTATAACTGAAGCCATCCTATCTTGATTCAAGTGGTGGGTAGGAAGGACAACTTGCTCTTTTGGTAAGTGTGTGCTTCTGTCACTGCCATTACAAAGCAGCTGGGCACAATCAGGCTATTCATGACTGTGATTGGGCCATGCTTAGTAGGAGAGATTTATTGCAAAGGGGAACTGAAATGACAATGATCCCAATATGATCATTGAGCCTTAGTAGGTGTCCCAGATACTGATGGTTTATCACCCATTTTTTTTCCTTCCAGAAGTTGTATGCACCCAAGTTGTATTGGTCATTTTGTTGCGAGGCAGATAGATCACTTACTCAGTCATATGATTTTGCATATTAGCTTTCCTGCTACAAAAGTTTCTTTGTTTTCTTCTCCCCTAAGAAAAAAAGAGAAGGGGAGACGGAATAGGAAAGTTGGAGATCATCACAGCAAAACAGATCTTTATGTCTGCATCTTATTTATCCTCCCACTTTGAGCTAGTTTAAGATTGATTCTATCCTTTTGGCTTCTCAGATACCGCAAGTTTGTCAGCTCCTCTCCTACAAAGCATAAAGAATCTGGTTTATTTTTGCCTAGAATTCAGAGCTCAGCAGCCTCTTGTTCATCCATGACTCACGCGAGCTAAGAGCGGGCAGTAAGCTGCTGTTGCTGGAAGGGTGCAGAGTCCACCTGGTGGACTCCAGCAGTACTTAACAGTGGATTTAAGCGACCACTGTGTCCAATAGCTTCGCAGGTTCTTACCTTGCTGCTGCTTACAGAAGTATACTTCTGTCTGACTTGAGTAAGACCTAATGCTGATTTTCAGCCTTCACTGTCTGTGCAATACTGAGTCTGAGGACAGTATTGGCCAGAGGGGCAAAACAGAGTTGTGAGTTTCAAAATAATTTTGTTATTCAATAGAGTAGAAGAATAGGATGTGGAAGGTTTGTGACTGAAAGTAAAAGCAAACAAAGACCCCTGTCCACCTACCATCATGTTGATCCAGTAATGTAATCATGCATCATACTTCCCTGTGCTGCCTTGTAATTAACCTCTGTGTAAAAACAGTAAATGAAAGATCATCTTTCTGCATATTGCTATTAAAAAATAATAATCAATGTACATGCTAGAGAAATGACCACAGAGGATGTAGTTTACAGAGAATAGAGCTTTAAGCACAGCTAGAAAAAAAAAAGTTGTTCATTATTTTGGTCTTGAATGAAAGACAGGCACTATGCATGAATAAGAGTGCAATTTTAGCTCTGAAAGTGGGTTCATTTCTATTTTCCACTTCTGCATTTGCTATTTCACCTCTGTTCATTGCAGACCACTAGTCCTGCTCTTGTTCTACTCTAAACTATCACCTGTTTTTTAGCAAAGTAAAGGAAATAAAAGACCCATAGCAGGAATGCAGTGTGCTGCGATCTGGAATGTCAGAATACAGTTAAGAAGTGCACGCCAACTTAGCTTTTTATTATTTATCACATTATTTGTTGGTGCTTTGCGAATGGGCAGCACACAGAGCTTCCCGCTAGGTGACACTGTGGCACTGCTGTATTCGTGGGGCGGCATCTGACGCACGGCAAGGACGCACCGCGAGCAAATGCCGTTGTGAGGCTGCCTGGGAAACAGCAAACAGCTCTCAAGGTGTCACCTTCCCAGCAGGGCGTATAAATACTGGAATTGTTGTGCTGGGCTCAATCTACTGTATGCACAGGGTTTGATAGTGATAGGGCAAGTGGAACGGTTTTCAGCAGAAGGAGGGGAGATTTAGATCAGATATTAAGGGGAAAGTTTTCCAGAGGGCGGTGAGGCACTGGAGCAGCCTGCCAAACAAGCTGTGGGTGCTCCATCCCCAGAGGTGTTCCAGGTCACCTACAGCTGTGCCTTCTGATCTTTCATGGAGATTTGCAGGGGTCTGCAGGGGTTGGGAGGCAATGTTCCAGGCCAGAGTCATTACATGAAAAGTGGTGTGGCTTTGCAAGTTCACTGGAAGCAGTATGAAGGTATAGAAACATTTAATATTACAAAATAGTGGAATGATAAAAATGGGGGTGTTGTAGAGGAGGTTCCGTTTTTGCAAGGTTCTGTGCACATCAGACAACAGACTGCTTTGCTGCTTCAGTAAGAATAGAAGGAAAATTCAGACAAAGGATTTTAAGTTACCTGAAATACATTTAAGTGAAGTTTATTCTTCCGTAGGAATAATAAAATACATTTTTTTCACATAATATACCACAGATCATTTAGATGCTTGCTTACAATCCTGGTGATGCTGCTCCTGTTCACCCAAGGGCAGGATGTGGCACAGGCTGCTTGTGATTAAGTCTTCTTCATAAATAGTAAAGATCTTATAACTAAGTCACATCTTAGATGCAGTAAACTATTGAAAGAAATTGCAGGAGGCATTGAGAAGTGTAATTCCCTGCCTTTACTTTGCCTTGGATTTTCTCATTTTTATGCTTGTTTTGTGAATGTCACTGCATGTTAATTGGTCAGATACTGCAGAGCCTAAAACAAAAGGGAAATCAATACATCTTTGGCTAGATTTTTATTTAAAAAACCAACAAAAACAGTCTCTTCTATCTGTCTCTTCCTTTCTTTTATCCTTGTGGAGTTCAAGCTAGCAGCTTGTTTGCCACAATTAGGGATAACTCCCAAACCCTTTGATTCAATAGGGATTTTTTTTCTGGAGAGGGAGGAAGAAAAGAAACGCTGAACAGATGTGCAGAAGCACCTCGTTTATTGCAAGAACCGAAGAGAAACATGAACTTTTGGGTAACAAAGCTGTGTAACTGTTACCACCTTCCCTGTTTCTCCTCATATAACGAGTAAGGATAATTTCACTGAAGGCCCTTCCCTGCTTCAAGATCAAGAGGGAAACTTCAGTTACTTCTTATTCCTTACAACAGCCCTGTTTCCTCTGACATCTTGATAAGCCAATCAAAGGTAAAAAATGGCAGGAATTTATAACTGTAGCTTTCCAGCAGCCAAAGGCAATCCAGCTGCTGGCTGTGGTGCTGCTGTCTTTTACTCTGACCAAATCCTTTCCCCAAGCCCCTTGGTCATTGGTTTGCTGAACCACTTCAGTGCCCTGAGTTGGCAGAAATCTGATAAAACAGAAGTAAATTGTTTCCCTACTGATTTAATGTACCGAAACATCTCATATTTTCCAGATGGTGTGTTGGAAGAGTTACTCATGATATGCATGTCCTGTTCAACCCCCAGTTTTCTGCCTGACCTGAGCTTTCCGTGGAGATTCCACATGGCAGATTAGCAAAGCAGATGACAGACTTACTAACGGAGTGCTTTACCTTAAACATCCTTCCTCCCATCTTTTGGCAATCACAGAAGCTCCTGGCATCATAGCAGCTATAAATGTGTAGGGAGAAAGAAGAACCATAATTAGAAAGTAGAGTCATTGTCTTAATAAATCCTAAAAGCTTCTAGTAGCCAACACAGTAGTGATTTTGCGATTAGGAATTGCAGCTGAAGTAGCCTCTTAGTAGAAGAGAATAAAAGGAAAACATGATCTGTGTATGAGCTGAACTTTGCACGCTGTAGCAGAAGTGCTCAGTCCCAGCTTAAACCAGTGACTGAGCAGCCGGTGGCAACGCAGGGCCAACCCAGGGGAGCTCAGGTGTATGCAGTGCAATGCACCTGAGTGACTGGAAGGGGTGGAGCCAGGATCCACCCATTCCCAGACCTCATTGAAGGACTGGCAGTGGAGGGAAAGGGATCTTGCCTTTAATTATTAACCCAGTTTTGAATTGCTGTCACCAGATATGGTATTATCTTAAAAAGATCCAGTTCTGTTGCTAGGTCCATGTTTGCAAAGAAATTTATGAAACCCAACCTGGGAAACCTGCTTTTAATGTAGTTCTGAGCATAGAGTTTGTTACTGTCACTAGCATGCTCTTATTTAGCTTGACTTAAATGTCAGAAAATATTATTCAGGTGCAGAAGACACCAAAGATCGCAGCTAACTGATACACTGAATCACAATTAGCAAGGAGACCACATAAAGCTCAGAAGCTTCTTTGTACTAAGAACACAATTGTGACTTTCTCTGTTTGGCTCTAGGTGTTTGCCTGCTAAGCCTTTATTACCAAATAAATGTGGGGGGAGCAGAACCCCAAACAGATGCTCAATTTTCCACTATCAGGGTGTGAGATTAGGCCACAATGTTGCATGAACCAAAGCTTGTTTCTTCACTGCAGCTCAATCAGCGTGAAGTGTATTCTGTGCTCTGGAAGGGTATCCTGGTTTAACCACCAGCAGGCTTTGTGCAGCCCCGTTGTGCTTAGAGAATACCAGAGCATCACTTTAAACTATGTGATAAACAAATAGTTGCAAAACAGATTAATGTTTTATCTCTTGCTTGAGATAAGAGCACAGTCCATGTCACTGTTAATGAACTCATGTGGCTACTGGGGGAGCAAACCTTTTTCTTCCTGCTTTGCTTTGACACTTGTCCTTGGCAGGGTTATTTCTAATTAGAGCGTTACTTTTCCTAATTGGAGACAGGACGCACACAGGGAACAACTTGACTTTGTAGCTTACACCAATAAAATGCATCTCTCTTCTTCAAACTGTACCTGAATTTACGTTTGTAAGAAGTCCACCATCATGGCCACTTAAATGAT